CATTGCCCAACATTCTTTCTGCAATAACAGAACTGCCCTGCTCCTGCCCTGTCCGGTGTGGCAGCCAGGTATGGCTATGAGCACTGGAAATGTGGCTGGTGTGACTGGGGAAGGAAATTTTCCTATTTTAATTACTTTAAGTGTAAATCTGAATGGCCACATACGGCTAGAGACTACCCTATTGGACAGTGTCATACTGAACCTCAGTCTCCCCAACTACAACATGGGCAGTCATGGAATCCAGCCTTCCGGGGTTGCTGCGAGACGAGACAAGACAACACACGCGAAGCTCTCAGCCTGGTCTTCGATGCGTGGCAAAATGGATTTCAGTGTGCTTCCTGTCCTCTTCGTGTCCTGGGTTCCCTTTAGAATTGAAGAAGGCCGTGGACCTTCCTCCAGCATTGCCCATCACAGACACACACTGCACAAACATATCACATGTGTGCACACACCATATGCATGCCACATACCTGCACAGACGTACCAACATACACGCACATCGCACACATATCATGTGTATGTGCGCACATCAGACACACGTGCACACACAAATCACACTCACACCCACAACTTTGCACCCAATTTCAAGAGGTTCCAGCAGCTCCAAAGCCAGGTGGAGAGCGCCTTTCGAACACAAAAGTTCCTTCCCGCTCCAAACACTCCAAGGCTAAGAGAACAAATTGCCGAGTCTCCATCTCCTCCCCTCCCTGCCTGGGATCAGGCATCTCAGAAAACCTTTCCTGACACTCAGGGCCAAGCGCAGAGACAGGGTTCTGGAAAAATCCTTGTGCGTGGAGGGCAGGCACGGGGCAGGGGCGACAGGACGGATTCTGTGAGCTCATCCCGGCAGCCGTCACCAGAGTTCCCAGAGAGGCCGGTGGCGTCAGGAGGGGGTGACTGGGTGGGAGCCCGCGGTGGCGGCAGCAAGGGGTGTGGGGCAAGGAGAGGGAGGCTGGATGGAACGCGCTATAATAGCAGCTTTGTGTTCCGCTTCCCAGCTCCCTGGGAACGCCAGGGAGATTATGAAACCCGGTGTCTTTGGGAATGCCAGGATATTAGCTGGAAAAAGAATAATACGAAAATAAAATAATGCTCACGATGGAGACAGCAGACGATTAGCAGACGGAGCCAGGGCCTCCTGCTCTGTGGAGGGAGCCAGGCTTGGCCCCAGCAGAAGGTTTCAGGGAAAGGCTGCCGTGCTAATGAGCAGACAGAGCCTGCCTTCCAGCGAGACGTCTTCAGGAGGGGAGCTGGCAAGTAAGACCCAGCTTGCGGGTGAACACGTGGGCCCGTGGAGAGTGGTAGACAGTGAGGGGGCGCCACAGGCGGGTCCTTGGGCCCAGACATCCAGAAATGTCAGATCACCGGGAAGGCCACCTGGCCACCACCTGCAGTCCTTCCCGGGCCTCCTTCAAGCTCTGCCTCCCAATGTCCTCCTCCAAAAAGCCTCCTTTCTTAGACATTATCACTCTGGAAAGATTCTTATTCTGCACCCCTGCACTCCAAAGAAGCAGATCCTCCTGGGTTTATTTACACTCCCATATGAATGTCTCCCTTCCTAATCAGTAAGGCATTCCCCAGGGGCCAGGCCTCCGCAGAGAAGTAAAGAATCCTCTTCTCCCACTGAGGAGCAGGGAGGACATGTCATCTTTCCCTGTCTCCCTCTCTAGGACCCTGGCCACACACTTTCAGCCAAGAATGGACAGACCCTGCCTTTCTCTCAGAAAGGCATCCAGCTGCCGGGGAGGGGGGAGTGTGGGAGAGGAACCATGTGATCACCTCCCTCATGTTCATGATGCGCTCCTCGGTTTATGTCCCCGGCACCTGGTACCCAGCAGCGTCACCTCACCCAGAAGCTTGTCAGAAATGGAGACTCTCGGGCCCCGCCCACACACTGAATCTAGAGCGTGCATGCATTTTAATTAGTTCACCAGATGGCTCCTGTGTCCCTTGGGGCAGAGAAGCACTTCTTTACATGTCCTTAATCCTTACAACATCCACAGGGTGCAGTGACGCTCATGACGAGGTAACAGAGTCATCTCAGGGCTGACCAGGAAGCAGAGGAAGCAGAGTTGGGATCAAACCTTCTCCACTCAGAAGCCTCACCAGTCCCATCGCACTCCCACCAAGTAAATCTGCAGGCACCGGTGGCCAGTGGGCAAAGGCCAGCACCCAGGACAGTAGCTGGGCCCTGGCACACAGGAAACCAACCATCTGCCCATGTGATGCAGAGTGGACTCAGGCCCCGGGCCTCGCTGGGCATCGGCACGTCCCAGGATGAAGAACAGCAGGCTCAGGGATGGGAGCCCAGGCTGGCCTCAGTCCTGGCAGGATGCATGTAAAGATGACCACGGAAGGAGGGTGTATGCAGGTAGGCATGTGTGCAGGAGTGTGTACATGTGTGTGCTTGTGTGTGTGTTGGTGCAGATGGAGATTCAATTCATTGAGTACAGAGTGGTCAGGCAGTTCCTGTCAAATGCACCTATGGCCCTGTCCAAATGTCGGCCACGCCTAAAGTCTATACACAACTTGGGAGCCCTCCGACTACAGGCTGTGAACGCAGTCCCTCCATCCGCCATCCGCCCCAGTTCACCAGGTCAGCAAAGCTCCCCAGACCCAGTCAGCTGCACTGCGTGGGCTGCTGGCTGCTCACACATATCACAGGCAAGTCACAAGGGTCTCACAATCCATCACCTTCTTGGTACTGCTGACTTAACATTTGATTTCAGTGTTCCCTCACAACACTTTCTCCCACAGAAATACTAAACAAATTGGTTTCTCTGTTTCTAAGAAATGTCCCGCTTTCTCCTAGTTACCAAGCTATGAGAGACCCCCAGCCTTACTCGTCTCTTCCCCAGCCCCAGAGCCCTCCCACACTTCCATCATGTACCCTCAGGCACCTCTGGCCTGTGCACTCTCTGCTTGTGGTACATCACATCACAGCTGACACTGGCCCCTATGGCCCCTGACCTGTCTGCACTGGGTCACCTGGTTGGCAGCCACCACATCCATCTTTCTCACACAGCAACTCACCGTGTGTGTCAGACTTGCCAGGGCCAACCGTGAACTCATTGCTGCCCTAGGCCCACCCCACCCTGTGGCCTGTCAACGGCAGTCACCCCATTGTCCACCCAGGGGAGCCTCTGAGGCCCATTTGACCCTTTCCTCCCTGAGCCCTGGCACTCCACTTCCTCCCACTGTGACCCCACGGCCTCCAGCCAGATGGTCCCCTCAGCCTGGGCCTCCAGTCGAGACTCCTACGGTCTCCTGACAGGATGCTCTCCCTCCCAGCCATCCTCCACGGCCACTTGGCTCATGACCCTAACACCCAGCTCCAATCAGGCATTCTGCTCAACAGTCCACACTGGCTCCTCGTGGCTCACCAAACAGGGTCCGGGGCCATCATCTGCAGGTCTTCACCCAGCACTGTCTGGGCTTCTCCTTCCCTCTCCCCAGCCTAGCGGTGCAGCCAGCGGCCTGACCCAGGACAGCTGATGAGAATTTTCTGTTCCTCTCCCAGGTTTCAGGGGCCCTTCGGCCACACACAAGGCTGTTACCGGTGCTACTGAAACACAGAGCTCTCCTCTCCGCACTGTCCCCAGCTGTGAGGAACACGAGGACGCCGGAAGGCTGAGCACTTTTACCCAGCAGGGCTTTGCTGGCTGTCACGATGACGTAAGCCTTTGTCACAGGCGCCACCTTGGCTACCACACGGAGGGAGCCTACGTGAGAGCGAGGCCAGACAGGAGACCGAGGCAGAAACACAGAGTGCCGGGACACGGTGCGAACCCATTTCCGGCCAAGCCCAAGGCCCCTCCTAGCTGTGTCAGCCCTGAAACCCCTCTCCTGTCTACAGGCACTGAGTGGAGTTTCTGCCTGTCAGAAACAAGCCCTGCTTTCTTGGGGTGCCTGCCCACCCTCCCCAGACCTAGCCCTGACCCGCAGGCCTGCCAACCCCTCGGCTGGAGCCACATGACCACTGCCAGGCCCTGGCCTGCGCCTGAGCCGGGCCCTTTCTGGCAAGACAAAGGGAGTCACAGAACACCAGCCTCCCTCTCGAAGCCATGCTGCCCCACAAATGGGTTCCCAGCCAGACGCAGGGCGAAGACCCACAGCTCCTCACCCCAACCAGATACTCACGCGCACACACATGCACGTGCACACACACACAGCTGTCTGCACTGAACACGCTCACATCCCATCAGCCAGCACAGCTGGTAGGACCTGCTCCCAGGGTCACAACCCAAAGCATCCCCCCAGGGTGAGCAGCTGTGGCTGGATTTCAGAGGGGGGTCTCATCCTGGGCATCTCACTCCTCACTCCACCTCCAGGAGCCCCCAGACCAAAAGAGCAGGGAACAGGCCATATCCTAGCCCCCACTCAGACTGTCCAGGTAGGCTCTGCTCATCTCTTTGGGGGAACACACCACGCAGACCCTGGGACACCCTGAATTTACCCCAGTTCCACTGGCTCCAGGAAGTACACACTGGGGCTGGGCAGCCAGCAGGGCTCAGTTTGGGAGGCACATCCCTCCCAAAATTCCTGGGAATGCCCATGCAACAGCCTTGGTCCCAGGAGGACTCGTGTCCCACCAAGGACACTCAGGGGTCACTAGACTTCTCTGGCCGTTCCATGGGGCCAAAGCCTCCCCGGCCCTTCCACGCCAGCCAGCCTCTTCAAGGACTGGGTTCCTTGGCTCCAGTCACAAGCCAGCCCATCCGAGTGCCGAGGCCTCTCCCCTGCTCCCATCGTGACTACACAAAGAAGCAGTTGGTCTCCTGGTGCCAAAAAAGGGAGCTGTTTTGTTACAAGAGGACATTGAAGCTGGCGTGCCCTTTCTCCACATGCAACTCCAGAGGAACTGAAGCCATAACACCTGGTCAGTATTCCATCCAAGGTTCTGTCCTGGGGCCCCTGCCTCCTCTGCATCAGCTCTGAGCAGCCCTGGGAACTCAGGCCGCACCCTGCCCGACCCTGGCCCAGTGGGCACAAGGACATACCAGGGCCCCCTCAAGGGCAAACACAGCTGCAGCTCCCGTCTTCTCCAGCGGCTCCATGCGCCGGCGCCAGCGGCGGCGACGGAAGGCATCCGTCTTGCGGTACTCCAGGTGAAACTTCCAGCCAAACAGCGAGGCGTACTCCCAGCCCTCACCCTCTGCCTCCGCCTGCCTGTGCTGTGAGGGGAGAACAGGGCAGAATAGGGCAGACTCAGAGGCCACTGGCGGGTTTGCAGGGAGTCCTGGGCTCAGTTCCAACTGTGCCCTTCCTGCCTACCACAATTCCCCACCCACCCCACACCAGCACCCTCCAGATGGGAAAACCTGGGAGGGCTGCCTGGAAGCGGGGGAGGGGGTATGCACCCTGAGCAGCTTCTGCACTGATGAAAGCTCTGGGTCAGGACATCAGGAGGGCAGATCCTCCCTAGGCCTCGGGGAGAACGGAGGGGGGAGAACCGAGGGGCCCGAGAGGCAAGCTAGATTGAAGTGGTGATGCCTGGGCTTCAGCTTTGTTTGTGTGTTTGCATTTCGGGAGGATTTCCTGAATCCAAGGTTTTCTTGTCATTTCCTTTTTCTTCTTCACACTCCAGCTTGTAAAAATGGAAGTGGGTCTGCAATTCAGAGGCAAACTGAAGATCTCATTTCCCAGCCCCAGTTTTTCCCCTGAGGCAGGGCCTAGGTGAGCCACGGAGGAACCTCTGGCTCTTCCTCCAAGGGGACCCCTTACCGAGCCTGGAGGGAGCCCTGGAAACCCTTCTTCTCTCCAGCTCCCAAGAAAGAGTAACCTGGGACTGTCCTCAGGCACTGCCTCAGGCCTGGGCCTCAGCTCAGTGGCCAGTGCCAGTCCTAGAGGCCAGCTTTGTCCATGTCCAGGAGGGAGGAGCACTGCCTGGCAAGGCTCCACCTCTGTCCCCTGGGGTCCCCTTCACGGAGAGTGAAGTCTGTCTCTTTCATGCACCAGGAACAGCTTGTTGCCCCAGAGCCTTGCCTTTCCCCAGACCTAGTGACATATGTCTCTAGATTCTCTATGCCCAAAGAGAAGAAAGGACACAGGTCCTGCCAAAAGCTGCTCCTGGACTGGGGGAAGCCTGGTTCTTGGGCCAAAATTCAATGTGTGCTTGAGAAGGTCACAGACCTGGAGGGCCCCGCGGTAGGCGGTCTTTGAGGCCCTGTAGTCACAGGCATCTGCGGGACTGTGGGAGCTGGCACAGCACTGTGTGTGCTCACATGTGCTCGCTCCGTGCCTTCCTGTGTCCCATGGGCACCTGTGCACAGCTGTGGGCGTGTCTGCATGTGCTATGTGTGTGTACTCTAGGGGATGCCAGTGAACCGACCCCAGGCCCCACCGTTGGCCAACACACTCTCGCAGTGCACCCGTCCCCAGCTGCCAGGAGAGTCCCCATGGTGCCTTTCTCCCAGGAAGTGCCCATGCTGAGGGGAGCAGGCTCCATGGGGTGGATACATGCCCCAGGGTACAAGTCCCAGCCCACCCCAGCAGTGCCCAGCCAGCAACTGATGGCCACAAGGTGCAGACTCCAACCCCTTGACTCCACATGAGGCTGATTCCACGGTGCTCCAGGGTGAGCCCTCCCCAAGCCACAGCTCAGGCCGAAGCTGACTTTGCCTGAGAACACATCCTTGCTCCTGGCACTCCTGAGGGCACCACATCGGTAAACCACAGGTAACAAATACCCTGTCTCAGACTCAGCCTCTAGGACACCCAGCCACAGACATATTCCAGGTATGTTTTTCTACCTTCCAGATCTGTGTGTGAACTCCCAGTGCAACCCTCTTGCACAGTTGTGGGCATCTGGAAGTGTTCTGCCTGTGAGCATCTGTGCATGTGCTGGGTGTGAGCTGCGTGTGTGCTGGGTATGGTCTGTGTGAGTGCTGGGTGTGATCTGTGTGAGAGCTAGGTGTGAGCTGTGTGAGTGGTGGATGTGGTCTGTGTGAGTGCTGGGTGTGAGCTATGTGTGTGCTGGGTGTGAGCTGTGCGTGTACTCAGTGTGAGCTGTGAGCATCTCGAGTGAGCTTGTGTGCCTTGTACATGTTCTGTGTATCCCTGTGTGTATATGTGCACATAGGTATGCACCTGTTCCCAGCTGGCCTTCCCACACCAGGACCTCACCCCCACCCACCACCCACTGGGCTCACCCTCTTCAGCGCCTCCATCTGGCTGAGGTCCCTTCTGCGTAGGCGGACCCAGCGCCGCCGACGATGTGTGTAGTACATCTTCTCAGCTGGGACCCAGTGCCTCGGCTTCCGATCCGGGGGGATGGTGATGCTGTACTCCCAGCCTGGGGGAGGGGCACCCATCACTCAATGCCCAGCCACTCCCCATCTCTGCAGCAGATATCTCCTCATTTGGGGCATGTACACAGATTCACAAGCAGCCAGTGACTCCTGGTTTGTAACTGAAGTGAGGGCTAACCCAGGAAGTCCCCCAGATGAAGTAGCCCAGTGAAGGCCAGTGCCCCAGGCCCAGGGGCCCTGCACTCAGCTGTCCTCACCAGCATACCTTATGAGCTCACCAGGGTGGGCACCACCAAGCTCCATGTGCCACCCACCTTGCTCGTCCACGGCCCGATTGAGATCCGTGGACCACTCTTCATCTTCCCACTTCCAGCCCAGTGGGCACTCAATGTCATCCTTGGGAAGTACCTTCTCCCCGTTCTGGGCAACACAGGACAGACAGGCATGCAAAGGAAAAGACATGATCAGGGAGGGTGAAAAGATGCAACTTGACGACATATGCTCTCAAAGTTTCAGGTGTGACTCAAGGTCAGTGTCCTACCAGAGCTGGACCTCACACTGTCTCTCTGGTAACCAGAGCATAGAGGATGGGGACATGGGAGTAAGGGAAAAAAATGTCCCACCCTTCTTTGAGTGACAGGTCTCTCCTGGGCCAAATTTACAGGACTCCAGGAAAGCAGAGCCCAGCTGCCCCTGGGGCAACCTCTTACCACATCCGTGTAGTTGTCACTCATGTAGATCCACTGGCCTCCGGGGAGCCGGGTCTGATTCTCAAACACCTCCTCAACGAAGCTCAGGTGGCCCGCATCAGTGTCATGGAGCAGGCTGTGGGCGGGGGACAGTCAGCACCTCTGCTGATCAGAACCCCCCACCTGGGCCAGCCTTCCTGCAGCAGCCTCACCTCAACCCACAGTAAGACAGATAGAGGGGAGAGAGTGATGAGGGGTCAGAGCCAAGGGGACACAGAGAAAGGAGACTAGGAGAGACCCAGAGATACTCACAGACAGAGGGATACTTCACCAACCAAGATAAAGAAAGAAAAGGGAAGACCAGCTGGAGACACCTAAGCCTGGGGTAGTTGAAGCTCAACAGATAATCATTGAAATGGAAAATGTTATAAAGCTGTATACTAATATTTGAGAACTTGACTATAATATAAATTATACTGCCATTTTTTTATTGTTTTTTTTGTATTTTTTTCTCTAATTCAATGTTTTTTAAAGTTTAAAAAAAACAGTTGTTGAACGTCAACCGAGCTGGAAAGGATGGGAGAAAGAGACAGAGACATCAGCGAGCTGGGGGAGGTGCTGTCCTGAGAAACACAGGGAAGGGAGGGCCTCAGGCAGGAGCGACGTGGCCTGTGGAGGAGGCAGTGCGCTTTCAGCGCTATCTTGGAGAAGGCTACGACCAACAGGAGCAAAGTCAGATGCAAAGTCTACTGGAGGCCAAGTTTGGTTTCGTAATAAAGAACCTTCCGATAGTTCTGGCCCTTCCAGAAAGGAATGCTGCCTAGTGAGCCCCGGCTCTGGGAGAGCGCAGGCAGAGGTCCCTAAGACCAGGGTGCGGGTGGTGGGAATAGGCAAAGGGAGGAATGGGGCTGAGGCCTTTCAGAGAAAGGGCTGGGGCAGAGGGGTCCCTGAGCCCTCCCTGCCCACAACACTCACGTCTTCTCTGGACACACGAACCAATCGCCGGCCCAGGCCCAGCCAGCCGAGGGGCGGAAGCTGTCCTTGGGGAGCTTGATCTTGCCCGTGACATCAGAAAACTTGGGGTAGGTAAGGCCCGTGGTGCCCCAGTTCCCAACCAGGGCCAGCTTGGTCTGGTTCTCATACTGGAGAACAAGCAGGAGAGAAGTGAGTGGGGCCCAGTGGCAGCCTGGCGGGTGAGGGAGCACAGGGTAGGCTGGCAGGCACTCACAGTTTCGGCGAAGACGGAGAGCTTGCCCTCGGCAAACTGGTTGAACTCCTTCTCATCCACAGAGAGCCCGAACCAGAGCTTCACGCGTATCTGTACTGGCATCCGGGCTCTGGGCACAGCCTCCATTGGATACTAGGTGCCAGAGAAGGACAGAAACCCACGGTCCCCTTCAGCATGTGGGCACACCAGCCTGAAACCCCATCTGGTGTGTGCCCTGTTGAAGGACTTACCGGAATTTCACGGAATAGGTGTGTGTGATCAAGATACCTTCTTCCTACCTGCCAAGGTTCCTTCCCATCAGAGGAGAAGACTGTGCATCCCCACTGCGTGCTGTCTGGAGAGGCCAGACCCTGTTCTCTCCTCTCCCCTCATGTCTTCATTTCCGTTCTCTTCCAGAAAGCACTGTCCAGCGGGTTGCTCTGCCGCCCGGCTAACGCTTTACATCTACAGGGTTCACTATGGCAGCCGCCAGCCCCCTGAGACAACTGACCACTGACAATGTAGCCAGTGTGACTGAAGAACTAAACTCCTTGTTTTATTTCATTTTGATTCCTTTAAATTTAAATAGACACATGTGGCCACCCTACTGGAAAATGCAGTTCTAGAACATGCCTCTGAAGGAGGTACAAGGGTCCAGGTCTGGAAGGTGAAGAAGAGGTTAGAGCCTCCCCCTTCGTTTCCAGCTGGGATTTTTGTGTGCTTGTTTTTTGGTTGGATGTTAGTGTATCATCTGATCCCCCCACCCTTTCGAGTGTTTATCAGCACTCCAACCGCTATGCACTGGTCTTCGAATGCTTTTCAGCCTGAAGCTTTCAGAAGCTCTGCCAAAATGGAATAACCACAACAACCCAACACAGAAAATGTATTCTCCCCAACTGCCTCAGCATCGGATTGAAATCAAGGCGCAGATATGGCCTAGAGCAAAAGTTCCCCACTCTTGGAAAAGGACAGTGTCTCTTGGAGGGAACAACATAGTCAGGACATAGGCCTCGTGTGCGTGAGCTTGGAGGAGCATCCCCTCTGAGACAGGGAGCAGAATGCGACAAGGAAGTAGCTTTGGTGGGTTGAGAAGAGGAAAGAGAGGCTGAGGTAACAGTTTCCACCATGAGAGGGGGTCTGGAACCTGAAGAGAGAGCCCCAGCCAGGTAAGAGGGTCAGGAAGGGGTGTCATGCCAAGACAGTGACAATTTCTCCCCTTACCCAGCCTCTCTGCTTGTGGTTCATCCTTGGTGAAGCCTGGAGGAGCCTCTGACCCCAAGGGTCACCCCCACCCCCCAAACCTCCCCATGACTGCTCTCTTCAGCTGCCCTCCTCCCTGGGGTGGTTAGCAGCCTTTTCCCCTCCAAACCACCAGCCCCAGGGAGATGGCAGGAATGCCTGACCCCCCTTCCCCCTCTGCCCCTAGTCTCTCCCCTGCCCTCCCCCAGACGGGGCCAGCCTGCCGGACCCAAAATAGCAACAGCAAATAAAGAAATGTCTAGTTTGGGGCTCCTCTCCCTCTCTGCTGGTGCTCATTTTTTCCAACTTTGGTTTAAGTTAAGAAACACCAATGTTTTCTTGGTCTCTGCTTGCTGCCAACATTTTTGTAGAGCTTGCTCAGGAGCTACTGGCGGGGCTCATAAACTCAGTGGGGAAGACTTCGAGAAACAATTCTATATCTTTTTTTTTTTTGCTTGGAATCAGGGAGATTTTTCAGTTTGCATTCCCCCAAAGCTGCAAAGGGCCTAGAGGTCAGAGCCTGAAGCTCATCCCCTCAGAGCAGGTCCACCTGGCATCCCCCTGCCCCCCACCCCTTGCTGCCCCACTTCAACTCCAGCCAGCGAGCATTCCCTGGAGAACCCCACTCAGATGTGGCAGCTCCTTGACTTCCTGTCCCTTCTATCCTACCAGGTAAGGAACTGGCTTAGGACAGAGAAAAGCAGGCTGCTGAAGGGGAACATGCCCTCAGTGGCAGGTGAGCAAGTAGGAGGGGCAGCCCAATGCATGACACACTCCACCCTCTTTTTACACAAAACTGGCCTCTCGTCTGAAATATCAATTACTCCACCTGCAGACATCTGCTCATCCCTGCCTTTGGGTTGGCTGCCAGTCATCATGCTAGTACAGCCTTCTCTCCCCAGGGAGCAAGGGAGCTCCCAAGGAAAAGGGGAGAAGAGGCGAGAGAAACTAACATTCGTTGATCACCTAGTACCAGCAAGACCCATGACCTGTGTTACTTAATTCAATTCTCAAAACCTAAAGAGTGGGCAGCTGACCTTCATTTCACAGGTGAGAAGAGAGCCAGCAGTTCAGAGAGCTTACACAGTCTGCCTAAGGCCTCGCAGGGTTCCAGCCAGCCCCGCAACCTGTCCAATCACACTGTGCCATGAAACCTGTCCTGTCTACCCACCCCGGGCAGTGACAAGAATGACCGGCCAATATATGAATGGGTTGACCAACAGCCACTCAGAGGTCTGAGGCTCAGGTTAGTCAACAGTGACCTCCCAGAAGAGGCAAGGTGGGAGTTGGTCCTGGTGTAGATGGGAGGGGAGACACAGGGAAGGGAAGGTGACAGCCAGGCAGTCCATCACACCAACAGGACCATGTGGAGTCAGCAGTGAGTGGTAAGGGGTCAGCCTACTTCCATAGGCCCTTCCTCCTCTATCAGGACAGCCTCGATGACAGCTGTCCCAGCAGAGACCCTCCCTTGGTACCAGGGCAGCCACAGCACAGGGAGGGATTTCCCCAAATTGTGCCCTGACCTCTGGGCCACGGTACCCTGACCAAAGCTGCCTTGGCTCTATGTCCCCACATTAACCTAGAGAGAGGACAGAAGATTCATTCCCAGGTACCCACTCACTTCCCTGTCATCCTACCCCAAGACTACTCAGTCCCCTGAGGGAAGATGGAGCAAGGACAGATGTTCAGAGAAGGAGACACAGCAGGACAGGTGGGGGTGGGGTGAGACTGGGGGGCAGGATGCTTGCCCCTAGCTCCCAGACACTGGCCTTCCCATGGGGGGAACTTGAACTTGAGTGAGGCTCCAACTGCAGTGGAAGGCTCTCAGGCAGGGTGTGCAGGCAGGTCTGTGCCAGGGCTCTTAGAGGCTGAGGGGAGGGCTGAGGGCTGAAGGCTGAGGACCCCTACCTGGGGCCAGCCTGGGGGTGGTGAGCACAGCCTCAGGGGTCAGCCCCTGCAGCTGTCCCTGCTAACTTTCTAGACCAGATCTAAGGGCCTAGGGAACTTTGTGAGAAAGAGAAGGGAAGTAGTTTTACCTGAAGCCCTCTGTCCTTTCCAAGAGCAGAGTCCAAGGACTCTGAGGCAATCAGACGACTGGAGGGGCAACGGAAGGGGTGGGGGATAGGCCTTGGACTAAGAAAATATAATCATGACTTGAGGAAAAAGAACCCACTTTCAGAAAGATCGTCTGCAGCTTCCCGCAATTCTTGCCACAGTAGCTGGCGCCCCGCCGGGAGAAGAGGACCTCGTGGGCAGGCACCCGCTGGTACGCCACTCGCTTGTCTCCCTGCAGCATCCAGATCACGATGTCGGGCAGACTGTTCTGTGGCTGCAGAGAAGGTGCAGTCAGGGTAGGGAAGGTGACATGACTGGCCCGCACCCTGCAGCCCACTGCGAGCTGCCTGCCCCAGCTAGGGGGCCTCCATCCCTCAGCTGCCCACCCCAGCCGCCCCCTTGATCTCCCAGGTTCAGCTGGGCATCTCTGTCTTCAGCAGCCATGAGCTCCTAGGACAGGGCGTGAGGCTGCCTGAGCTCACACAAGGAGGCTGCCAAAAATCACTGAACTGAGTTCACATTTTCTGGGAAGAGATACTCCTGCCTGGAGCCCAGCTAAGTTCTTCGATTCCTCACCCCACCCCACCCCCACACGCTGGGTAAATAGATGCTCCAGGCACAGATATGGGAGGATTTCATCGGGCCCAGAAGATGACATTATACTTAACATGACCTCCCCGCTCCCTCGCCCTCAAGAGCAGCAGCAAATCACAGGAGTGCCCTTCCCAGAGGACACTCACTCCTGCTCCCTCTGACAGCAGGGACCCTGGGATCTGACTCTTTCTGGGCCTGGGGACAGAGGGCTCTGAAGATGCTGACTAGCTCAGAACAGATCTGCAAGGCCTCTGAGTCCCTCAGAGCCTCTGGCTGTAAGTGAGAACTGCTCCCAGCTCATGCTTGGAAGAGATGACCAGTTGGGTATGGTCCACCCACTCCCAAGGTTGGTGAGCAAAGTGCCCCAGGAGGAGTGAGGGGGAGGAGTGGGGGGAGGGGGCTGGGTCTCCGACCAGGGCTCAGGCTCTGGCAGCACTAGCTCAGCACTTCACAGGCTTTGATTCTCAGACTCCCTGCAGCAGCCCAGGAGGCAGAGAAGGGCAGCCCATCTGACAAGTGAAGAAATTCAGGCTCTAGGAGGTTAGGAACTGGATTTTTCTGACTCCAAGTACGTGTTCCTAACCACTACACCAGAGGTTCTCAAAGTATGGTCCCCATAGCATAAACACAAATTCTGAGGCCCCACCCCAGACTTGCGAGTTGCGGAGGGAGGGGCCGTAGCCTGTTTAAGGGGAAGCCCCTGAGGGGATTCTGACGCACACTCAAATCCAAGCAAGACTCTCTTGGGTCCCCAAACAACCAATAGTGCCTGTTTGGCCCAAACCTCTCCAAGCCCTATTGCAGTCTGGTCTGAGAGCTCTGGGGTCCATCTGAGCTATGATTTTGGGAGGCATGTTTTGACCAGTCCAAGAAGGTAGTTCATGGCCATTATAAGGGGTCTGCCCATGTTCCCCACCATGTAGCTGGCCCCATGCCTGAGACTCTGCTCAGGAACTGGCTCTCCGGGCCCAACATTCCTGGCTGCCTTCCCCTCCTGAGCATCCTTCACCTCCTGATCCTTCCTCTGCTCTTTGACAGCTCGCTCCCCCAGAGGCCCTTTGCAGGCCCTGCCCTGCTCTGCACACTCCTCCTGGGGAGATCTTTCCTACCATCACCCCTGCCTCCCTCGGGGTCCCACACGGCTCTGGGCAGCAACTGGTCTGCCAGTGACATGTGAGCAGGCCTTTGTCCTGTCTGGATGAACCTGTGGCCTGCCTGGTCACCCAAGGAACTGGATGGGTGCATCCGACCTGAAGGGGGGCAGTGCAGGTGGGGAAGGGGTACCCCAGAAGACAAGCTGGAGCCCCTTCTCTCTGATTAGATATGAGAATGCCCAGAGTTATGGCAAATGTAGCCTCCTCACAGGCATCCAAGAAGGGCAGGAAACACAGGCACCCCCCAGAGGCAGGAGAAGACAGATGCTGGTTGGCAGGGAGAAGGAGCTGGTTCCTGGGAAAGCAGGCCCCAGTGCTGGACCTAGAGCCAGGCGCCCTGGGTTCTGGTCCCAGCTCTGTCTCTGACATACTTTGGCAGCATTCCTTATGCACAGTCAGGGACATTTATTGAGCACCTACTACACACCAGGCTCTGTGCTGGGCCCCACAACATCCAGTTTCCCATTGTATCTTGTCTCCTCCTTCTATACATGGGGTCATCGAGGCTCAGAGAGGTTAAGGTGCAAGCCCAAGGTCACCCAGCAATGGAGCCAGGGTTGAATCACGGTCCAGACAGTCCCCATGTCCCTCCCTGTCCTGATGTTCCAGGCAGGAAGGAAGGTGCTTCGTAGAGTTAGCTACCTCATCCGCCAGGGCACGGAGACGCAGGAGCCAGTCCTCGGCCTGCTCCAAGGTGGCAGGGAGCTCACAGTGGCCAAGCTTCAGGGCCAAGGCTGCCTCGGTGATCTGAGTCAGGTGACGGGTACGCAGCTTATACAGGTACTGGTCCAGATAGGTGGCAGAGGGCGTCTCTTGGACATTGCGCAGGGGCTGGCTGTGAGGGACAGGTGGGATGTGCCTGATGAGCAGGAACCCAGTGCACACCCAAGTCCAAGCACACACATGCACACACATGCACACATGCGCACAGGCCGCCACAACAGGGCTCACGCCCTCGGCCAGCCTGCTGGACACTCTGTGTGTCCTGGGCACCTTCTCCAGCCTGATCCACGTGCACCGTCATCTCCATGTGACCTGCTCCATCCTCACCTCCTCCAGGAGGCCTTCCCCAACCACACTGGCTCAGTGCCTCTGCTCTGAAGTCCTCGGGCACGTCCTCCCCACCCCCGCATCCTCCTAGAGCAGAGGCCCGAGCGTTAAGTTGCCCTTCGCTGAAACGAATCCATTCTGTTGTACGCACACTTTCTTCAAGAAGGAAATTTATGGACCCCTGACAAGCCACTGCAGACGCTGTGGGGAGGCCGGCAGCCAGCAATACAGATGTGTCGGCTCGGGGCGGCCCCACAACACCCCTCCCAGAACCTCTGTTTGGGAAGCCTCTGGAGAAGAGGCGTGGGGGCGGGGGATGGACACATAGTCTCAGAAACACAGGCCTAGACCTCCAGTCGGAGGCTGAGTTTAAACTCCATCCTGTTTGGAGGCAATGAACTCTGACCCCCACCCCCAACCCACGGGGCTCCAGAATTGTCCTTCATATATCTCCTCCTCACCATACCAACCCTCCAAGGTCAGTCAGTACATGCACAGGGGTCCTGCAGGATGGGGTGGATGGGGCTGGTCTGTGCCCTCCCTTTCAGCAGGACCCCCCTAGATTATCCCTGCTTGAAGGTATGGGGGGGCTGCCCCACCTCCGCTGAGCCCTTGACTCCCAAACAGGACATCAGTCAAACCCGCTCCGCCAGTCCTGCTCCCACCACTCGTAGCCCCCCCACCGCATGCTCCCCTCCCTGCAGCGTCTGACTCCGGCTCCCGGCTGATTTATTTTTCTGCCAATTTCCCCGAGCTATGCAGAACCAATTACCGCCGGAGCGCAGCGGCACCGCCGCCGCCAGATACACCACTCTGGCAGGCCCTCGGCGCACTACATTTTTCCTGTTATTTTTTTTAATTGAATTTTTAGGGTGGGGGGAGCAGTACGCAAACTCCATCTCAGGAAACTTAAGCCCCGGGACCTGTCTCAGGTCACGTACTGCACACCCTGTAGTAATATAATATTTACTGCCCCGAGGGTGCCGCGGATGGGGCTGCCCCAGGCCAGGAGAGAGACGGCCTCCTTCCCCAGCGCACTCGAATGTGGCGGAGGGGCACGCTTGGTGGGTGAAGGGGGGCCTGGGCCACAGTCCTGGCTGCAGCCTGCCTGGGAAGCAGCCCTGAGTGGGCCTGGGGGTGGGGGCAGGCGGGTCTGGAATGGGATGTGGAGAGCTGAGCCAACCAGAGTGATTTATGCTCCCAGCCCTGGTCGGGAGCTGGGAGGGACTGCCATACAGGCCACCAAAGGGAGATTTTCATGGAGGCCACCGGCCTGGCCAAGACTCCCCAGGAAATACCCGGGACCGTGGCTGCCACTAAGAAGATGTCTCAGACCTTTCCTGCCCCAGAAAAGCCCAAGGCTGGGGGCAAGAAAAGAAAGGGAGACCCTGGGGAAGAGACTGGGTGACACTGCACCCCAAACCCCAACCTGGGCCGTTTACCTGCCGACCCCAGTGAAATCGGTCGGCAGGCCCAGTGCCGGCTGCCAGCAGAACTGGGGTGCTCACAAAGTCGCTGCCTGACCCCGCGTGAGTGGGAGCCTGCGTCAGGGACAAGCACCCAGGAGGGGAGCAGTGTCCAGCCTGAAAGAGGAACTGGCTGCAAGATCATTCATTTCACTCCTTGAGAGCAACAGCCCTGCTGGTCCTGGCAGGGGGCTGAGTCCAGCCCTGCCTTCAGGGAGCCGCCACGGAACAGCTTCAGTGTCAGGGAGGGGTGCTTTCTGGAGGAAGCGGCACCTCGCTGCACCTGTCAGGACCAGCAGGAGCGAGGCAGGCCAGAGCGAGCAGGAAGGGTGTTCTAGCAGACGGGCAGTGTATGCACGAGACGAAGCCTCAGGGGCAGGAGGACACACGTGGGGAGTGGCTCCGAAGGGGCTGGAGGGTGGGACTGCCCAGCTGTGGGACAGGGGGTGGGGCCAGAGAGACTGTCCCCCAGGACCAGAGCTGGGACTTTTCCTGACCGGAACACACTGCAGGGCTGCGGTGCAGGTGGCATGGCACAGTTCTCGGAAGATCACAGAGGGTGAAATGAGCGTGCTGACAGGACATCTGGATGTGTGGTGGGCAGTCGGATTTCAAGGCAGGAGGAGAGGGCTGGGCTAGAAGAGCAGAGTGGGTGCCCCTGGCTGGGGGAGAGGGCAGAGGAGCAGGAAAAGGCTCTGATGGAACGAGGGACACTGACGTTGGACGCGTGGGCAGGGCCGGCTGAGGAAGGGGCCAGCAGCCTCGGTCAGCCAGGGCAAGCTGGCTGGGGCAGCCAGCAGCGGGCTTCCCTGCTGGTCAGCTGCGACGGTGCTCGGCACAGAGCCAGAGGCGGAGGAGGCCCTCTTGCTGCGGCCCTAGGGCAGTCTGGGGGCCTCAGGTGGTGCCTGAGGGAATCCGTCCTGCTGACTTCCCCTAGAGGGCCATTTGTGCATTCCTCAGGGCATGAGAACCTCGTCCAAAGCTCCTGACCTGGGACCGGAGTCCCCTAGGGGTGCCCGGGCCCCTTCTGTCCTGAGGAGAGGGAGTCAAGGGGGCCAGGCTTTCAAAGAGCAGTTTTAGCCAAATCCTCCGAGGACCCTGAGAGGGCAGCCCAGGACGTGGGTCCCACTCGTCTCAGGTGTCCACACGCTGCAGACCTGCCAAGGTCTACACAGCGTGCGAGTCAGGAGCAGAGCCCCGGTCCACCCTCCGCACCCCTGCTGTCAGGCCAGGCCAGTGGGGCACAGCAAGCCACTCTGAGGCCCTCCCCACAGTGAGCGTGTCCCTGCATGCTCCTCCAGCCTCACTCTGTCCTCCCACCCCCAGACCACAGAGAGACACCCCACGGGCACCTCCCACTCCACGTGGCCAGGCCTGGACGCCTCACCATCCCCCAGAGCTACCTTTCTCTTGCTGGCCTCTCTGGGCATGGCCCTGCCCTCCACCTGGCTGCCCTGGCCAGAGCCAGGGGATCATTCTTGACCTTCCTTGGGCCCCCGCATTCAACCCACCAACTAGTCCTGTCCATCAGAGAGCAGGACAACACCAAGGGCTTGGCCACTCACTAGCAGCGTGAATCTGGGAGAGTCAATTAACTTCTTTGAGTCTCGATTTCCTCGTCTGTAAAACAAGGACTGCTCTACTTCCTACCTCATAAGATGTTTATGATTAGTTCATACGTGTAAAATTCTTAGAGCGGCACCTGGCACAGAATGTGCTCATTATGAGGCTGTTGTCATCCTGACACCCTCTGAACAGTCCACACTACCCCCACTCCAGCGTCCCTCCTTAAGTGATGCCTTATCCAGCACCCCCTTTGCCAACCCCCGGCCCTGGCCTCTCCATTGAACTGCAGCCAGAGTGAGCATCTGAAGTGCAGCGACCACTGTGCCCCCTGACGGTTCCTCAGGTGAGCTCACCTTCGAGGACCCTGAGGCCTGTCCCATTTGGACCTGAGCCTTCCTGGTGACTCCCGCCTCCTGGAGGTGGCAGGCACTTCAGGCTTCTCGGCCTGTGCCTGGGCCGTCCCCTCTCCAAAGGCCGACTCCCAGTCGTCCTACTTTGGAGTTCACATCGGGCATCCTCTCCCCAGGAAGCTTCCCGAACTAGATTTGAGTCACGTGCACCTGCTGAGCTCCCACAGCAGGCGCCTCCAACTCCCGACACTCTTGGCTCCCTCTGCTCGCTTTGGCATGAGTCACATGGGGACGAAAGCTGCCCCCTCAGCCATCTGCGCTGTGTACCTGGCACAAAGCTGGCCAGGTTTCAGGAAGGTCTGGGGACAAATGACCTGCCTGCAGCCCCACCACTGGTGGTAGGAGCAGGGGACACATCCATTCTGGGAAGAGCGTGCCTCCCGCCTGAGGTAGAGGGTCTAGGAGGACACTGCCCCAGGCGGGTGGGACAGGGACCTGTGTCTCAGTGTGATGGCACTCCTCACACCTTCAGGAGGGGGTGGGCTAATGGAATTTAGAGGGGGCATGGGACACATTTGCATATGTTCACACTTAACTCCACAGAAGGTAGAAAGGCAACTTTGCATTATTGAGTCCATTTAACAGCTGAGAAAACTGAGGTCCAGAGAAGTGAGGCCCCCCAAAGCTAAAGAGCCAGTTAAAGGGGCAAGAATGTAAGTCTCCCGACATTGCTTCTTCCTAATAGCAATCACAGCTACTGTGTGCTGAGCATCTCCTAAGGGCCAGGGGCTGCTTCATTTATACAATATTATAAGTTAGTTATTCTCAATGCCAGCGTACAGATGAGGAAACCAAGGTTCAGAGCAAGTGGGTGGTGAGCCCCAGATCACCCGGTCCCAGAGGAGGTGCTGAGAGGCTCCTCTTTGGCCAGCCTCCGAGCCCCTGTTCCCCGTCCCCCCAAGGCCCCCTTTCCCTGGCGAGATCAGCCCTGTCAATAGAAGGTTAAACAGAAACCATGGTCCCCGACTTGGCCTTGGGGGAAGGAGGGACGCCGAGTGCCCCCCCACCCCCGCAGCCAGCTCCTCCTGCAGATTCCATCAGGGAAATAAGAGGTCGGGGATCAGAGACACAATGCTCCCCATTCAGGTGAGCCAGGCCGCCCAGGGCCCACAGCTGCCGCCGCTGCAGGGAGATTTATGACCTGCTCTAAATGTCACCTTTTCAACTCCCTGTGCTGGCTCCGCCACCTTTGGACTCAGCACGGGCTGGACTGCTGGCCAAGCATGGCTGGGGCGACGTGCCGCCGCTCAGCGCCACACACGAACACTCCCAGGGAAAGGGCCCCGCTGAGTCAGGAGGGTGGGCGTGGGTGCCAGGCACCCCTACCTGCAGTCTGCGATGAGCTCATCCATCAGCTGAGCCGCCAGGGCAGCCGCGTCCTCGGCTGAAGAGCCCTGGGCCTTCAGGGCCAGGTGGACTTGCTCCAGGCCGGCTTCCTGGGGAGCAGGCAGGCAAGAATGAAGGCCATCAGTGCAGGGTGGAGGTGCATGGTGGACCCCAGCCCCAGGCCCCGTCACCACACCCAGTCCCTGAACCAAAGAAGAGAGCAGTTAGAGCAAAAAAAGGCAGAAAGACACCCTGCAAATCAGGGTCCGTCCTGGCTCAAGAACACCCCAGGGCCCCACATAGCAGCCTGATCCAATCCCAAAGCCCAGGGCCCCAGCCTCGCACTTGGTCACAAGGAGGCCGGGTGCTGACAGACAGGCCACATCCCGCTGCTCACAGGCCCCTTCAAGCCAGGTCTGCCATCTCACAGGTAAGTGACTTCTACCTGGGATGCTCTCTCCTTCCCAAATCCCACTGCCTCACCCAGCTCAGGTCACGCCACCTTCCTTCATGAGCACTCGGGAAACCTCCAATAACTGAGTCCCCGCTTTCACTAACTCCCAGGGCCAGGCCGGGCCAGGCCAGGGCCTTGTCCGGTCCCCCCGGCGGGACACATGTCCCACCGTTCCCCTGGGCCTCGGCCCCAGCTGGGAGGCGGAGATCCCCCAGCAATCGCCCTGCAGGCCAAGTGCTCTCCCTCAGTTCCCCATGCCCCTCCCACCCACCAGTCTTCCTGAGCATGTGCTGCACCTGGGCCCTGGTGTGACACAGGCCCTGGGAAGAACACAGCTGCCACCCGCAGGGACTGCCCTATGAGAGAATGGCTGATCTGGAGGATGGAGTCTGAACTTCAAAGGCATCGACCCCAAGTTCTCCTGCACCTCATAGTCCACCAGCCTCAGGGAAGGCATGGCCCCCACAGCCCCCCAGCCTGGGCTTGGATCCCCTCCCAGCCAAGCCGGGGTCCCAGCCTCCTCCCCACTCTCCCACCTCCCCTCCTCCCTCTGCTCACCTTCTCACCCACAGACATGCCCAAGCTTCCCAAACCCCTTCCTGCCACCCGATGCCCCTCACCTGTCCCAGCAGCGTGGCCACACCCGCCTCCTCCATGTTTCCACAGGCCATGTGCCTTGTGGGTGAACCTCCACCCCACGCACACACAGAAACGGCCCGGGGCCACCGCCAGAAGCACCGGCTCCCCGCCCTCAGCCTCTACACTTCTGCCCACTCTGATTCCCTCCACTCTCTGGCCATGCCCAGTGTCCCCAGGCAACCCCCCTCCACCCATCACATCCCAAACAGGATGCACCACCTAACCTGTCTCCCAACTTCCCAGTTCCCAGCTACTGGAGCCACTCCTCCCGGCCCACCCTCCTCCCCCATTCAACAGACCACCAGGGCCTTCCAGCCCAAGTCCTACAGTTTTTTTTCTCCCCTGGTCATCTCCTTCCCGGTGCTCGGCACACCCCCCCAGACCACTGCAGAGGTGTCCTGCCTCCTGCCCCCCCCCCCCCGCAGCTCTGAGAGGCTCCTGGGCCCTCCCCCTCCTCTGAGGTGCTCCTGGGGTGTCAGCTGAACCTGACTTTAGGGCTTCTGTGTGGGTGACCGTGGGCTCTCCTTCACTGAACAGACTCCCTGTGGGCAGTGCAGCTCCCGGCTCCAGTCTTACTCCCCTCTACAAGTGTCCAGCACAGGTCCCTTCACGTGGTGAGAGTCCACAGCACTCGACAGAAGAATGGACGAGTGGTGCAAGGCTCTGCCCGGCTGCCCCTTGCCCGATCTGTCTCAGCTCTCCGCGCCGCCTTCTGCATAAACCAGCGGCTCCCTCTCCTCTCTCCTCCCAGTGTGCAGGGCAGGACCACAGACCCGGCACCATTAGGACACAAGGGACTGCCAACACCATAGCCGAAAGGTCTGGAGACGCCCATGGTGGGGGTGCGGGCGCAGGCTGCGTGCAGCTGTGGGCTGCGTCCACTCACCAGCCGGTCAGCGATCCCGAGCAGCTGGTTCTGAGCCTCAACTCTGTGGCTGATGTCCTCCCAGTACGAGGACAGCACCACCACAGGCTTCACGTTGCCCCAGGGCAGGTAGTAGTAGTGGCACCCTGGAAGGACGCAAAAGGCCTGGTGCTGACCCCTGGGTGCAGGAGTGGAGGGAGGGGACTAAGGGCAGGGTGGGCTCAGGCACCTGCTCCTCCTTTCCACTAAGAACTGCCTCGGACACACACAGGTGACCAGTGTCCAGACTAGGTGCCCAGAAGCTGTCGCTCTCATTAGGGCTCCTTAACACATCAAAATGGGAGCGGGGGCGTACGGCAGTGGGGGGGTGTTGGAAGGAAGCTGAGGAACCTGCACTCTCCAAAATCTCTACCTGAAGCCCAGCAGCCACCACGTAACAACCGAGCACCATAGGTCAGAACTAGTGCTGACTGCGGCCGGTTCTGGGAGGCCCATCCGGGGGTCCTGGCAGTGGGGACCCCCTGGGCGGTGAGCAGGGGGAGGAGGCACAGGGGAGCACAGGAGGGGTCCCTCCCAGCTGGTGGCCTGGGCCAGGCCCTCCAGGGGGCCTCTGGCAACTTCCAATGGGAAGTAGGACTTAGGGTCGGCCCCTCTCCACGGTCAGGGTCCCATCCAGGCACATGGCCTCCGGCCTCACCATCAAAGACTGCCCGGCTGTACTGGGTGGTGGAGGCCAGTGGCAGGCAGGTCGTGTCGAACTTGTTGCCGTAGTTCCCAATGCTGACCTCGAACTGAATGGCATCGTCGACATCCTGCAGCATGGAGGCCGAGTAGAAGGCAGCGAAGAGGGAATATTTGCGCCTCCGGAGGTACTTCTGGAAACAGAGAGGGCGGCCAGAGAGTCACAGGGAGGAGGAAGGGAGACACCGGGGGTGGGGAGGGGTCACATGTCTGGCAGGCCCTGGCTGTGACTGGCGCCCAGTAAATCCTGGCTGGACGGATGGGTGGCAAATGGTCCAGCGAAGCACCAGCGCCCAGATTTGGTTACTAGCTGAGCAAACTCGTTCCAGGCCTGTGTGCTTGGCCACGTTCCTCTCGTAAGGTCTGCGCCTCCAAGGCCATGATGCGCCTTAATCCAAACCAGCAGCCATGGCACCGACACCCCTAGGAGCCTGGTCTTCTGAATCTGCTGCTCAGAAGGAGCCGAAGGCTCTGAACCGCTAGGCCCCCCGCCCAGAGTGCCCACCCCACGCCGCCAGGGTCTCCGCAGGCCAGCTGCCCTGCAGTGTCCACAGGCTGCCATATGCTTGAGGCAAATGAATCCCATTGTGCCCTCTGGCCACCAGGCTCAAGGCTAAGGACACGGGAAGTGCCGTCACGAGAACCAAGGAGACTTCACGATCCCCCACCATCTCCGGAGGTAAGTGTGACTCTCTCCTGCTCCTTACAGACAGGGGAACTGACGTGGCTGGTAGCAGACCCAGCCGGGACCACAATGAGCACCTTCTGACGGCAGGGCCTGGCGTTTAAATCACTGCGAGGATTCCAGCTGCTCCTTTGACACAAGACCCAGCTCTCCACTTGTTGTCCTGATATATTTCAGCCTCAGTTTCCCCATCTGTCAAATGGAGCTGCTAGTGGCTGCCACCTCGTGGGTGCTGGGAGGACTCACTGACATCGGACTGTCACTAGCACAGTGTCTGACGCGTGGTCAGTGCTTAGTAAGTGTTCGTGATTCTGACGTTATTGTTATAAAATAGCCTCTCATTTTGTATTGAGCTCTAGACTTTAAAATTATTTTCATTTACCGTTTTTGAGTCTCTGAACATTCCTCAGGGAGGCAGGGTGGATATGGGGTTACTTCCGCCTCCCAGCCGAGGCCTGAGGCCCAGAGAGCTGAAGGCAGATGAGTGCGGGCAGAGCTGAGCCTTCCTCCACCGTGACACCCCAAAGCCAGTGCCCCTTGAACACCGCCCTCCACCCCCAAGAGCCACACCCCTCACCTCCACCCGGAGAATGTCATCTGCCAGGAGATCCTCCACCTTCTGCTCACTGTGTTCCACCAGCTTGGTCTCCAGGGATAGCAGAACCCGGCCTCGGTAGGCCACACCTTCCCCCTGGGAGGGGAGGTTGGGTCAGTGGGAATAGGGGCTTGGAGAAGAGGAGAAGGGAAGGGGCCTGATCCGGCCCGAGGAAGCTCATTTCCCAGGTGCTGACGAGGTCCCTGAGCCACCCCCATCCTTCTGCAAATAAAGAAATGGTGCCCAGAGAGTTCCAGTAACAGGCCAAGCCACCCAGATGGTCAGTAGCAGACTCCAGTCCAGCCAGAGGAGAGATGAACCCTGAGACAGCTGGGGGATCTGGGTCCCTCAGGGGCCAGGAAAGTGGGGGATCAGGCTGGCCCGGAAGGAGAGGCAAACAGGAGGGGTGTAGAAAGGTGGAAGGGTCCAGGACAGGGCCAGACAAAAGGAGGGATCTCTGGGAGGTGGCTGCCTAGCCCTGGGCCTGCTCTAGCCCCATTGGGCCCTTGCAGTCCAGGGAGAGCCCAGGTACTGCCCAGGCCAGGCAGGAAGACGACTCAGACAGGCCTAGGGATCTAGGGAACGTGGGGGGTCTGGCTGGCTCACCTTGCCCATGTTGAGCTCTGCATAAGGGTCCGGGAAGCCGGTGAACTCCCTGGGACTGCCGTAGAGGTTGACATAGCAGGGCCCAAAGGTGGGCAGGAAGCCCAGATGGTCGTCCACTGGGGGACACAGGCAGAGTCAGAGGGGCCAGCCCAGGGGAGCATTCCACTGCTCAGCCCAGCCACCTGCAGGCCTGGGCCCTCCCCTGGGCTTCAGTTCCCTGCACACATGAGGGACACAGCCTCACACATGCATAAAGAGCAGTGACACTGATGGCAGCTCCCACTGTCCCCCATAAGCTCCTCTAAGCCTCACCACAATGCTGAGATGTGGAGATTCTTATTATCTTTATGATCTCATTTTATAGGCGAGGAAACTGGGCTCAGGGGTGCAAAGGAACACAGTGGGCATGACCTAAAATAGACTGACTTGACCTCATAGTCCATGCACCGAGCCAGCTCGTAAAGCTGGGGCCAGGACCTCCGCTGCCCACCCCCCTCCAGCCACACCCCATTCTGTACCCCCCCAACCCACACATGAGTGAGGGGAGGCACAAAGGAGGCCCCGGAACCTCATGACTGGACAAGCCATCTCCCAGGGCACCAAGGAGGGGACCCAGCTAGATGTCCACCCCACAAGGCAACCCCTGGGCACACGCCTCCCCACCTATGCAACAAACCACCTAACGGCCTTGACTCGTGCTGGTAAACCCTCCCCCACCCACCACGTTGTACAAAGAACAGTCTTTCAGTGGCACATGTTGGAGGAGAGTTAGAAGAACTACACTAATGATCAGGGACAATCTCCTCACAACATCCCTTTTAGGGGCCACCTTTGGTTAATGTCATTGTTTTCCAGCTGACAGCCAAGTTTTCCAGGATGGGGCATCACTGGCATACTCTGAGAACTGCAGGGCTGGGGGTTGGGGGGCAGACCAGAACCATCTGGGTGAGCCAATCCATACAAGCAGGGTAGGGCAAGGCGCGGCCGAAATAAATGTCCATGGCAAGGAAGTGCGTGAGCCAGACCTGAGGGTGTCAGCTGTGAGCCCCGAGTTCCAGCTAGTGGTGAGACCCTCGTGGGGGGACAGGGTAGGGGCAGGGACAGGACTTGAGAAATAAGAAACCCCCGACCAGAGGCAGGAAGAACATGCCTCTGCCAGAGCCAGGGGCCACCAGGCAGCCATCTGCCCTCTCCGCCTGTGCCCAGCACAGACAGGGCTCCCTGGCCCTGGGGACAGGGGTGGGATGCCCAGGCCAATGGAACATGATCACTAATAATGATTTGTAATAATCATCTCAGTTATGATTTACTTTGCAAATTCCAACTTCAAGAGTTTTTGGCTCACCCTGTCCTCTTGCTGGTCCCCAAGATGTGCCCTGCCCCAGTCAGTGAGGGCACCCACGCAGGTCCCATCCCCTGCCTGCCAGAGAGCAGTCTCATTTGCACATCAGCTGGAGCCTAGCAGACTTAGGAAGGGGGCTGGGGAGTGGGAGAGATTTGCCTTTAAAGCATTCTAAGCAATTTACATACTCAACCAAAATTGAGAGATATAACCAAAGGTAAGCTAGGGGGTTATGGTGGGGAATCTCAGACTCACCTCAAGCAAATCAAAACTCTCCAGCCACTAGTACCCTCTTCCCTCCAGTAGAAACCCCCGGCCCACCCCCTTAAGTCCCCAAAGCACATACTGTCCGAGGCTGGAGGAAGCTTGGCCACACCTGCAGACTCCTCTGAAGCGTAAAGAAATGGAAAAGGGGTTAGGGTGGGCATGGCTGGAAGGAGGTCTGGTTACATGAACAGGCCTGTGGAGGGAGAGCTGGCAGACAGACAGATGGAAAGACAGCTCCTGTGTGGGAAACAGATGTGTCCCGAGGCCCTACTCCCAGCCCAGCTGTGAATTTATCACCAACTAAGTCATCACGGAGCCCCCACCCCAGCCAAACACAGCCCCCAGGGCCATGGTGAGCCCCCTGGTCCCTCCCCACTGGTGTCTGCCTGCACATCTGTGTTCTGTTTGCCAACTGAAAATTGGACCCAAAAGTTGACTCGGTACATTCAAGAAATAAGACAGAAAAGAAATGTGCGTTTTCATAATATGACCAGAAAAGTGAGGGGAACAAAGTACAGACACAAAGAAAGGGTGGGGGAAGCACGAAAGGGCCAGAGCTGCACAGGCAGGCACACCCAGCGCTCCACCCTGCCAGCAGGTTGAGGCTTGGGACCCAGCTCCCTGAGAGTTGACATTTCAAGGCACAACACCTCCATCTAGTGGCCACCTCTAGTATTGCCACCGAGGGCACCGTGTTTCATTTTCACAACAGCAGGCGCTGGAATCTGGCTTCTGGCATCTGCCTCTTCAAGTAAAAACACAATAACAGACACTGTCCATTAGCTGAAGGTTCTATACACTGGCATGTCCCTAAATGCTGGTGATGGGTGTCCAGAAATAAGAGAAGCAAAGAAGGAGACGCTATGGCACATTTCCAGGCTCTCGGACTCCATCCCTCACTTCCAGAAAATTAAAAGTTGCCCCCCAAAGAGTAGACACCCACTCCTCAGTCTCCTTTCACAGTCCTGTCTGATTTCTGCCCCTTCCCACACTCTGACCTTCCTGTCTCCTCCTCCAACCAGCTAAGTGTAACTGAGGTCGTGACCAAGCCTGGGATGTGGCTGGAGAAATCCTTGATTACTCTCATTGACTGGTTACCCCTGCCTATTGGTCTCCTTAAAAAAGGAAAAAAGAATGCCTTTGACTATTTTCCCATAGCTCTATGATTGAAGAGAAGAGCCAAGAGTTCAGCAAAACACTGCAAAAGAAGAATGAGCAGAGACACAGAAAGAGAGAGTGAAGAAGAGTGGATGAGGGAATTTGGAAGTCTGAGTGTGAGGGCAGGGCTGACATTCTGGGACTTAGCCTCCCAGCTCTCTGCAGCCAGGCCTCAACAAGGAACACCCCCTGGCAGGAGTCAGCTACAGAAACCACAGTTCATGGCCATTTTTATGTCCACAGGCATAGGTTCTCCTCAGTGGGGCAGCCAGGCCTCCGGTTATAGCAGAGCTTCCAGCAACAGCCAGAGGGCCGCCACGGACCCAGCTGGAGCCCCACAGAGAACCACAGCCAGGGCCCACAGGAAGCAAACAGAGTCCACTTTAAGCTCCTTCCAAATCATTACCAACAGGCCTGGCCAGTTATCTCGGGCTAACAAGGGTCACGGTTCCAACCCCCACGTGCTTGTTGCAGCAGCAACTCGCCTTCCCACCACAGACCAACTCTGATTCCTGGCTGCAAACCCGTGCCCAGTCCAGACACAGCTGTCCCCTAAACCCACCAGCCATCTGAGCAACACACGTCTCTGGTGCTGGGAGGACCGGGAGAATGGCTGCAGAGTAGCCTATTTCCCAATGGTGCCTTTCATTAATTCCCTCATGTATTGTCTTCTTAGTTCAGCAGACCTGACCAGGCACAGTGCTGGGCACCTAGTAAGACATTGCCCTACTGACAAGTTAGGCCAATGATTCTTAATTTGAGGGCAGGGTCCAAGGTCTCCAGATGCTCAGGATCATCCCAGATTCTCTTCCCTGTGTCTGCAGACAACTCATAAAGTCCAGGGCAGAGTGACCAGTGAAGGCACCCAAGACAATGCCTCTATTTAGTCCTCATCATCCTTCTGCCAAAACACAAGTGTCTTTGCATGTTTTCCCTCAGCCTGAGGAAGCCCCAGTTTCGTGGCCTGAGCAGCCACACCCAACTCTCTCACCTGGGGGAAGCCAGGGGAGACCAACAGCAGACCTACCAGTTCAATGCAGCCCACATCACAGCCCCCAGACAGTCCTCATGCACCCCTGTCTCCCGGGAGAGGTTGAGGCTGTTACCAGCCCTGCCTGCTCCCTCTGCCTCTCAGCACACCTCCCACACCCACAGTTTGGCTGCCTGACACCAGCCCATGCCAGGCAGGAGGAAACATTGGAAACTGCTGGGAAATCATTATCATCTACGTCCCAAAGACAAAAAGAAACTACAGTAACTCCAGATTTCTTCCCTGTGGAAACACTGCAAGTGCTGCTCATGCAGCATGATTTTCATATGTATAAAGTTAGAATAGAATCTATGGAGGTTTCATAGGTCTCATGAGCTGGTTACTTTTTGAAAGAACTGCAGCTTCTAAGGAAAGCACTACTTTTTAGAAAACAAAATTTTTACTAAACTCCTTGGAGCACAGGGCCCAAGGAACACATAAGTGTGCCCAGGCAGCCTTGCGGGCAGAAGTGTTTGAGAGGCTAGTGTTAGGTCCTCTCCCCACTGGAAATAAACACGAAAACAAAAACTCCAAATAATCTGGTGAACCATGAGGTACAGGCATATAGAGAAAAGAGCCCATTTTTACAGTTCGGTTTAGCTTGTTGGGTTTTGCAAGCAGTGGTGAAATAAAGTGTCGTGCACTGTCATGCCAGAACCGCCCCCGCTCCCAATGTGAAGGAAAAATACAAAGACTGGGCAGGAAGGTGCAGTGACATGTTCTGAGGTGGCCTCAGGACAAGTGGGAGACGGTTGGCAGGCAGCGAGGCAAGCGCTAACCTTCAGGGTCTCGGAAACGGGCACCCCTGGCGGAAGGGACATCGGAGCAGTCATGCAGAATGGCTCCAGTGTGGGCAGTGAGTTTAACTCATTTATTGTTACAGGGATCACGTTATTCAACCGCACTTTAAACCTGGTTAGCTGGTTGCAGGAAGATTCTCATTTAGCTCCGAAACAATCTGTGGGAGACGTGGTCTGCCTTTTCAAAGCCTCCTTGAACCACACGGGGTTGCCCATGGCCTGAGCGCCATCTAGCGGCCAAATAAACATCTTTCTCACGTTTTCATTAAAATATTCATAATACCCTGAAAAAAGACCCAGGCCATCATCATCACCACCCGAAGGAAGACTGATGAAGGAACAGGGATCTACACTCTCCTTCTCTTTCAGGCAGCTTATGGCAGGCTCAGCCGTAGCCTCAGGAAACAGTGACAGAAAACAGTCAGAGGGTCTCTAACAGGGTCTGCCCCTGGATCCAGAGACAGGAAGAGCACCAGTCAGAAAACTAGAGAAGAAGTTCTTCTGCAGCAGCCCTCCCAGTCTGCAGTGGGGGTGAGGATTCCCCTTCTCACAGCCCGCCGTCATGACGCACTCACTGCCCCACCTCAAATCTTTCTACGGCCAAGACAGCCGTTCTCAGAAATTATCGGAACAGCATTAGGGAAAGGGCCCCACATCCTGGGACAGCAGTTCCCAGAGTTTGGGGCTGGGGGCAAGCCCTGCTGGCAGTGCCTTCGGGAGGCAGTTTTTGTGCAGCCCCCTAATTACAAGCATCAACAAGGAAATCAGAATGGCAGCGAGCAGCTAGGTGTTCACGCTGTGACAGCAGCTGGGAATTCACTGTACCATCCTTTACTTTTACATGTGCTTGAATTTTCTATAATGAAAAGTTATTTTTAATGTTTCAGACAACCTAGAAGAGAGTCATCAACTCCAAGAGCACTAGGTAGTCTTCCAGAAGTGGGGCACGCTGACCTGTCCTCTGGGTGAAGGATGGCTACAGAGCCCCGCGGACCCTGGGCACAGGAAACACCAGCACTGAGCCGACCCTGCCAGATAGCAAGTGCCCACCGGGACGGGAAACAGCTTCTGGGAGACCCAGGGGAGCATTCACCTGAAATTCTCAGGAAATCACCTTGAATCCTTAATAGAGTGCACAAAGACATAGCTTTTGTGGAACAAAGCAAACTTCTGGGACAGAACAGACACAGAGGGAAAGGAAACTATTCAAAGGAATGACAGAGGAAAAAGAAGACATGACAAGAAACTAAAAATGCAATAGCCAATTTGAAACTATATAGGAAGTAGTAAAAAACAGAATTAATACAGGAAAAATCAGAATTAATACAGGGAAAAATCAGGTGTGCAGAAAGCCAATAATAAGGGTACTAAACAGCAAACCTTACTTCAGGGCTCATTGTATGCCAGACACTCTAACAACTTTACATTTATAATCTCACTGGACCCTTTTAACAACTGATGAGCCTGAGACCGGTAGGAGGAGACTGGAGCAGCTCGCTCAGCTGCAGAGAAGCAGACCTGGGACCTGCGCTGCCTGGCTCCAGAACCCCAGCTCTTACCTGAGCCCGCCCCACCTAAGGCCGTCCAAGTCCTACTGCTAGACTGACAGAAACTATTCCTTGACGCAGATGTAAGAATCCACTGTGTATCAGACAACACTCAGTTAAACACAGTCCTGCACTTAGTGTGATCAAAGTACCTTTTTAACTACAGTAAAAAGGATACATTTCTACAAGCAGCACCTAGTTAGGAAAAAATAGACTACCTACAAAGGTAGTCTTCCCAAACTGCTCTCTGAAAACCCACCAAAATAAATTCAAAAAAGATTAAATATTTAGACATAAAAAATAAAAGGAAAAATTAAGTGAACTGTAAGGGGGTTTCCTGAAGTCCAACAGCATGACATAGGGAACAGAAGCCATACTTGCATTATTTCAATAAGAGACACTGAAAATAAACATAAGAAGTTAACTAGAAAACTGAATTAGGAAACAACAAAATAAGTATAAAAAGAGTTAAAGAAAAGAGTAAAAAGATGAGAGAATTAAAAATTAGAAAAAAAGGCCCAACCAATGTGGGCCAGTTGGTTGGGCGTCGTCCCGCACAGCTCAAGGTCAGGACGCGTACCCGCATTACAGGTGCTCCCTCGTCAGGGTGCGAACGAGAGGAGACTGATGGATGTATCTCGCTCACATCGATGTTTCTCTCCATTTCTCCCTCCCTTCCCCCTCTCTAAAAAGAGAGAAATGAAAAATTTTTAAGTTGTACATTTTTTAAAAAAACATGAAAAAATGTTAGAATCGATAAATAAATCCAAAAGCTGATTGTTTGAAATATCCAATAAAGTAGGGGCAACAAGTCTTCTAACAAGGCAAATCACAACAAAAGGAAAAGAAAACTCAAACACATATCATTAGAAATAAGAAAGGGGGAAACATCCGCAGATAGAGAATTGCTTCAATTATTGACCTGCACCACGCTGTGTAAACAAATTAGAAGACCTGGGTGTAATAAATGCTTTTCTAAGAAAATGTAAATGATCAAAACCGACTAAACTGACTAGAGGAAAAGTAACTGAAAACAGCAATGATCACAGGAGAAACTGGACATCTTCAAAGAACTGGTATCACATTCACTCAAAAAGGGCACCCAGCCCATACAGTTTTATAGGTGAGTAACTTCAAACACTCAAACGACTACCTTATTATGTTATATAAACTGCTCCAGATGTTAGAAAAGACTTTAAATCTTTCCAATTAATTTTGCAGAGCCAAAACCTAAGAAATAATAAGCACACATATCAATTAAAGACAATAGAAAATCAAGGAACAAGCCCAGAATACATTTAGTAATGTAGTAATTTAGGAAGGGCTAAAGGTGGTGTTTCCAAATACAGGGACAAGACCATTCAATACACAGTGTTGGTATCATCAAAGAACAATTTTGAAAAAAGTAATGTCAGATCCTTGCTTTATACACTAAGGAAAAATATTAACAGATTTGGCTAAATAAAAATTTTAGAATTCTGTCCATCAAAAGCTTTTAAATGGTAAGATAAAACTGACAAAAATTATTCACCACACATATGATGAGGGGAACATTAACATCCATACACACACAGAACCCTCACAAAACCATGAGAAGACAAACACACCGTCAGAAATATGGACAGCAACATGAACAGGCAATTTACCACAGAACATCATGGAATAAAATACATAAATATATAACTATTAAAATATTTTAAAATTTTCTTTGGTCAACTTCATCAGCTATCAGTGAAATAAAAATCAAGGCAACAGTGAAATTCACCCTTCAAAGTAACAAAGTTCTGTTTCAGTATCATTATTTTGCTCTGTGTTGGTGAAGGTGCAGCAAAAGAAACTTATGTGATTAGAGTGTAAATCAGTCCAATCTTTTTGAAGGGCAACTTTGATATACACAAATAGCTTTAATATGTCCAAATCCTTTGACATAGCAATTCTGCCTCTAGGCATCCCTCCAAAACAAAATTGTGAATTGAATAGAGTCAGCTACAAAACATTCAATATAAAGTTAGTTGTTTAGAACATGGAAAACACTAGAAAATACCTAAACAATTCAACATTAGCTAGTTAACATGGACTATGGTGCATCCACATGTGGAATATGTGTATTCATTTAGAATTAATTTGTAGAAGAATATTTAATAAGATGAATAAACATCTGTATTGCATTGCCAGGGGACAGAAAGCAGTTTTCAAAGTCATTGGAAATTTTTGGAAACAATGTTTATCGTGTGTGCAGGTTCATACACCTGCATGCATGTGCGTGCATGCATATACATGCATGTAGGTGTGCACAGATACACACAGAAAGGTCCCAGAGCATCAAGTTAGCTTCTGCCTGAACACAGGGTAGGCTGATAGAGGGTAGGTCTATGGATAATTTCATGGGTGAATTTTATCATCTTCTTTCAGAATGTTTCTTTAAAATTTTACAAAATGATCTTGGACTACTTTTTAACAGACTACTATGAAAGGTATTGCAAAACAGACACTGCTGGAGCATAGCCGGCCAATGCAGAACTGGACGGCCGGGTCGCTGCCACCCCCAGTGACCTCTGCAGGAGTGGGCTGACCTTCCATCCCCTCAGGGGTGCATCCCACCCTCCGAGGTGTGGAGAATCCTAAGTGTCCACAAGCCCATCCTCCGACTGGCCAGAGCCCGGCTCCCTGGGAAACAGGCAGCAAAGACCTTGTAATCTTCCCTGTCCTGCAAACTCTCAAAACTAGAGGTGTAAGACAGGCAGAGGTGGGACGAGGGACAGTATGGGGGCCAGAGGGCAGAAGAGAGGGGGAGCTTACCTTCTATTTCTCCTCCTGGGGCAGAGATTTTTGACATACTCAGGTAGGTGGTGGCCACGATGTCATTGTGGGTAAGGCGGTCCCTAGAATAGGGGACAGAGAAGGCCTGAACAGGAAGGGGGAAAAGACTGCAGCCCACCCAGAAGGAAGTGGCCTTGGTTGTACATCATTAGGGGTCCCAGGCTTCCCACTGGGTATGTTACTGAGGCCTGGTAATCCCAGGAAAAAGAGACTGGAAATTAAATGTTGCTCAAGGAGAACTAGTTGCTCCTTGGTGGAAACTAATCCATCCCAACAACCATCAGTTCCCATCACCCAGCCGACATTGAGCTACCAGCCTGGATGTCTTTGGGGACATGGAAGGTGGGAGGGAGGAGGCCAGAGGCAGGAGGCAAGAGGCTGCTCTGGGAGCCAGGCCCCCAGACCCAGGGAGAGCCAGGCTCCAGGAGCTCAAGAAATGTCCAAACCAAAGAGAAAACCAAGTAACCAGGAAGAAACTAGCTCCAAGGCCAAGATTTCAAATTAGTTAACGCTGCCCTGGCTGGTGTGGTTCAGTGGACTGAGCGCTGGGTTGTCAACCAAAAATGTCCTGCTCCCAGTCCAATTTCCAGTCAGGGCACATGCCTGGGTTGTGGGACAGGTGCCCAGTCAGGGCACTCAAGAGGCAACCAATCAATGTAACTCTTGCACATTGACGTGTCTCTCCCGGTCTTTCTCCCTCCCTTCCTCTCTCTCTGAAAGTAAATAAATAGAACCTTTAAATAATAAATAAATACATTAGCCAACACTAATGCACCATTCCTTCCTGCGTCTGACTTTCTACATGACGAAACACGGTTAACCTCCTTTATCTTTCAGGATCCTCTCAACAGCCTTAGAACACAGGCACTTTCATTGCCATCTCCGCTGCACACGTGAGAACACGGAGACTTAGACCCAGGCAGTCGGAGGTCAGCCTGGGAGGGAGGGGCAGAGCCACGGCACACAGCTCCCCTCGTGTGCCCCGCTTCCCAGGAGCAAGGCTTCTCCCCTCCCCACCCGCACAGGGGGCCGTGTGTGGGAGCTCGAGGAGACTCACCGGCCAGTGCACCCATCAGCCACAGTGTCCTGTGCAGGCCCTCACTGGCCCCTGTGACAGTAATGTACACTACCAGCAGGCATTCACCGAGCACTACTGAAAGCCCAGCACTGTGCGAAGACCACCCATGACCTAGGCCACGTCCTCATGTCGGCCCTCTGAGGCGGGCACTCCAATTAGCCCCAACTCCAGACGAGACAGCTGAGTTTCCAAGATTAAATATTTTGCCAAGATGGCAAAGCTGGGATTTGAGCGGCACATGCCCAATATGGAAACCAGAGTTCTGACTGCAGCAACCTGCTGCTTCCTTGTCAGGCTAGGCCAGGGGTCCTCAATCCACTGACTTTGACCCCCAGGGGACACTGGGCAATGTCCGGAGACATTTTTGGTATTGGGGGAGGGGTGCAGAGAGAGGCCTCGGTTGCTGCTAAACATCCTACAATGTATCGTACAGTCTCCCACATAAGAGAATTTTCTGGCCCACATGTCATCATCATGCTGAGGCTGAGAAACACTGGGCTGAGCAAGACCTATCTTATCTCCTTCTGGAAGTTTCCTGTGCATTTTCCCTCTGTTTCTGCGGCCTGAAGGCCCTGTCTCCCTGCTTCCTGGTGTTTGGCCACAGTCGGCTCGAGGCAATGAAGGCAACACAGAGCCCCACTGTGCAAGGAGCCTGCGCATGGTGATCTGCCTCCTCTTTTAAGTCTCCGCCAGTTCTCTGCAGCTCCCTTCCTTTCTCTGCATTTCCCCGGGAGGTGATTAAGCTTCAGTATTAATTTTTTCCATCAGGGCGGGGGCTACACGGGGAAGGTGGATTGTCAGCACAGATCTTTATCACTTTTCCTGGTGCATGAGTTAGTACGAATTGGAGAGTTATAACTCCCTCAAACAGTTCACAGTGAGGTTATGACCCCGGACAACGGACAGGTGAGGGCACTTTTAAACTGCCTCTCCGACCAACCCCTGGGAAAGACCAGCACTTGGAGAGGAATGGGGTTTCTAACATCTGGTCTTACCTGAGTCTGCTGAGGAAGGAAAGAGAACGGAAGAACGGTTTCGTTTTAATAGGGGCAGGAGGAGGGTATTTGGGGAGTTTTGTTTTTTAATGAAAGAAAAGTTCTTAAAGAATCAAATGGAAGATTAAGTTACAGAGAAAAGGCCATATGGACTAGATCATATTCCAGGATTCAGGTAATAACACAAGTTTATCCAAGTTTTCTGGGAAGAAAGCTCTGTTCTGGATAGGAACTTGCAGCAGTGGAATGCCTCCTGGTCAACACTTGGGTTTTGGGGCTTGGGTTGCTTTTGGAAAATACAGCGAGTCTGAAAATAGACTCACAATAAAAACGCCACTTCGCCCCAGACCAGAGATACAGCCACCAGATTCCGTCATGTGTTTGGATTGCACAGCACGCTGCTGCCCATGACACAGCTCATGGGGACTCAGGCAAGGCCCGTCCCCCCACACACGGGACAACCACCCCGTGTGCACACATGGGGACACATGCATCCACATGCACAGACACGCAGAGCCCATCCTCTCCATCCCCTGTCAACACAACGCACATGTGTGCCTGCACTCTGCAAGCTAAGCTGGAGGGATCATCTGTGGACACAAAGCACATCTCCCCACAACCCGCTCCCCCACTGAACATACCGGCGGTCAGGGCCCGAGAGGCCACTCCCTCCTGGCCCTCCCAGCCGTTCCCTCCTGCCCTCTAATGCTCACAAGCTGTTTTCTTTAGGCCTGGGGAACTGGCGAGCACTTTAATGGCTCTGTGGCCTGGGGGTTTTCCCTACTCTCTCATTATCCTCCTGGCTGGGGGTGCCTTGGGCCTGAGACCAAAGGACAACACACTGAGAACCGCAGAGCCAAGATTTTGGGGGGGCAGAGAAAGGACAACTCTCTCCTTTTGGAAAGCATGGTGTATAGAAGGCTCTAGAGATCAGCGTACGGACCCCCAAGGGCCCTCTGGTGTGGGAGAGACCCCCTCAACGTAGCAGGAGGCAGTGTGGCCTGTGGTTAAAGTGTGGGCTTTGGGAGCAGCAGGCCTGGCCCCAACCACTTCCCAGCTGTCACCTGGAGCAGATTACTCAGTCTTTGCCAACCTCCCCCACATCTGCGAAGAAGGGGTCAAGCTGAGGATCAGGGGAGACTGTGCACATAAAGAGTATGCTGGGCACAGGCCCTGACCTAGGCTCAGCCAGTGCTAGAGACTGTTCCCTCTCTAAGATGCCCATGTGGGTGCTGCCCTCACCTGCTAAAAGCCCAGCTGGCATCCCTGCTCAGGCAGCCCTGCCACTTCCCAGCCTAGAGACCTTGCTGTTCCACCCTCCCTACCCAGGGGCATCACTGCCTGTGTCCAAAGAAGCTCTGCTCTTTCCAGCCTCCTTGGCTTTGCTTCTGATCCCCTCTTTACTGGAATGCCCTCATCCTGTACTTATCAAAACCCCACCTTCTCCAGGAAGCCTGCTTGGCCCCTCCTGGCCTCGGGGATCTCAGGCTCCTGGAGCCCCCCCAGCCCCACCTGGCTGCCCTCCTATCTGCCTCCAAGCAGGGCCGTGAGTAAGCTTCCCAAGAATGGTCCACACCCTCTCCTCCTCTGCCTCCGCAGAGGAAACTGAGTCACCCAAACACACTCTCCCACTGCATGCAGGCTGAATGGAAGGAAACTGAAGGACCCCCGAGGACAGCCACCTCTAAAGACCCTGAGCCCAGAGCTCACCAGTCCATGATACGAATCCTCATTTTCTCACACATGGAGGGAAACTGCAGAGAGAAGAGATAAGTCTCGGTGTGGAGTCCCTTTGAAGAGCCAGAAATCCGGGACATGGACAGGACACTGAGGAGTCCAGGAGCCTGGGGCCTCGAGGGGTGGGCCCACCGGGGACGAGGCTCACCATGGCAGGCAGCGTGATGCTCTGGTTCCACTGAGGGTTGGCCGTCTTCTCCAGGATTTTGCTGCAGAGCTAGAAGACACAGAGGTAGATGGAGCTCCTCAGGGACTCTGAACTCCCTTGGGGACCACCCCAGCTAGCGGCAGTTCTTCTGCTGGGCAGAAGGCCCGAAGGCTCTGGGGTCCTGTGCGGTGGGCCTAGACACAGGGAATCTTTGCAGAGACAGCTCAGTGGCAAGTCAGGCCCAAGCTGGGGACCAGATTGCCTGAATGCTACAGTTCTCACCCTTATTTTGGGCTCAAATTCCCCCTCCCCTACCTCCCATTACAGGCAATGACCCTAAATGAGGAGGTTCTGCACCCAGACTGACTTTCCTAGGGCCCTACAGCCTGAGGCAAGTCCTTTTGCCCGCCAGCCCAGATCACCTGCCCCTTTGGAAGACTGTGGGCCCTAGCAGTTTAGAGATGGGGGGAGGAGAAGGCGAGAAGGGAACGAAGGGCCAGGCCAGGGCCATGCACCAGCATCCAAGAGTGAGAGGAAAATTAAGTGAATATACAAACCCCATAAGACACAGTCTGCCTCAGATCAGCCCTGCTCTTAAGACTTGGCTTTCCACAAACAAGAAACCTAGCAGAGGTGAGAATCGGATCCAAACCAGCCCCTCGAGTACTCGGCTCTGCCCTTGGAGTCCCCAGGGCAGCGCCAGGCCCCTTAGCCAGCTCAGGGCATCCTGTTCCCACACGGTAAAAGCTCATTTCAGACATATAGGACCCTGGTAGGTTTGCATGTCCTGCATAGTAAATGCTTTTTTGGAGCATTGACTACGGGCACTGCATTGTATGAAGCATTTACATGCATCATCTCATTTAACAAGCAACTGACCTAGGTCAGTGGTTTCAGCCTCTCCATGAGATGACAATGGTGCAGCCAGGACTGTCTCTATCCTTGGTCCACCTGGTGCTGACCCCAGTCCCCACCCTCTCCTCCTCCCTGTGAGAGGAGCCCAGGCAAAGTCTGGGGCAGGGCTGGGTGCCAGGATGTGGCCCTCGAGTGATCAAAAGGAAAGAAGAGAGCCTAATGATCCAACTAAATGATGGGCAGAGCGGGATGCAGCTCTCAGGGATGGGGTTACAAAGGGTTGTACCATGCATAAAAAGATGCTGAACCTCCCTTGTGATAAAAGCAACACAAATAAAACCAATGAAATACCATTTCTCACCCATCAGATCTGTAAAATTCTCTAAAAGTTGGGTAGTCCTCTATTGATAAGGATTTGAAGAAACACAACCTCTACAGAGATCAACTGGCCACTATCGAAATACCAAACGCATTCTCTGGCTGGTGTAGCTCAGTGCATTGTGTGCCAGCCTGTGAACCAAAGAATCACCAGTTCGATTCCCAGTCAGGGCATATGCCTGGGTTGCAGGCCAGGTCCTCAGTAGGGGGCGCACAGGAGGCAACCACACATTGATGTTCCTCCCCTTCTTTTCCTCCCTTTCCCTCTCTCTAAAAACAAGTAGATAAAATCTTAAAAATACCAGATGCAAATACCCTTTGACCTACCAATTCTACTTCTAGACATGTATCCTACAGAAATACCTGCACATGTGCAGAACAGCATATGTACGAGGTTATTCACTGCAGCATGGCTTGTACTGGCAAGGACTGGGAATAGTCCCTGTGTTACCGACAGAGGGCAGATTAAATAAATGTTGGTCCAGCCACACAATGGAGAACTATGTGGCTCTAAAAAGAACGAGGACTGCTCTGTGACAGGAAACAATCTCCAGGTTATCTCATTAATTGGAAAGCTAAGTAATGAGGATGTCCCGTACAACATGTAGAATATAGTTAACACTGGCATAGGTATATTTGAAAGTTGTTAAAAGTAGAGCCTAAGAGTTCTGATCACAAGGGGAAAACCTTGTGTTTTTTGGGGGGGCGGGGATCTATACGAGAGGATGGATGTTAACTAAACTTACGACAATCATTTCACAAAATAAGTCATTATGCTGCAGGCCTCAAATTTATGCAGCTCTATATGTCAATTATATCTCAATAAAGCTGGGGGAAATTGAAAAGCAAGGGACAGCACAATAAGTATACTGGGCAAACACTTGTGTTAAAAGGGTAAAATCTAAGAATTTACAGTCAGAGTTGCCTGCATGTGCTCAATGAAACCAGAATGATGCAAAGGAAACTGCCCTGGTTTCGTTTGCAAGTGAGGACAGGAACCTACTGTCATATGAGCACGAAGCGAGAGGAGTTCTCATGATGGGTGATGGAGGCAGACAGGTGGCAGACAGACACAGGTAGATGGTAGGTAGGTACAGACACACATACAGATATAGACAGAGATAGATGATAGAGATTAGATAAACAGATGGATGTGTATACATATATAATAAACATATTTCCTAATTCAAAAACTAGATGAGCAAAATTTTAAAACAAAAAAGGACTCTTGGCTGGAATGGGAGTAAAAGGGAGAAAACTGTACTTGAACAAAGATTAAAATTTAAAAAAAAAGAAAAAAGGAAAAAAAAGGACTCTTTAACCAGACACAGCTGAGAGACCCTGCCAACATCCACCCCAACTCCCTGGAGCAGGAAGGCACCGGCGGCCACACAGTCCCCAGAGCGATGCGGGAAGTTGAAGACCTTCTCCACAGGGAGGGAAGCCATCACCTGGCTCCCCTCTGGGCTTCCCCTGAGAGAGCCACTGGGATGTGGGTCTGGGAACCTGAAGAGCTGGTCCCGTGGCCACACTCAGACCAGCGGGCCTCTGGCCCTGAAGATCTCAACATCCCTCCCACATCCTGTTCACTGCCCACATGCTCAACCCAGGTAGCCCGAGCCTCTCCTCCTCCCCATCTTCTCTACACCTTTCAAAAACAAACAAACAAACAAACAAACAAACAGGGCAACCTCCTTCACTTGCTGATAGTATGAAATCAGTGCAGACTTTCTAGAGGAATACTTGGCCACCTTTATCAAATACTTAAAAATAAGCATGCCCTTGACCGGGTTCTAAGAACCTCCCCATAGAAAGGCAGAGTGTGGACAAGGACTCCTGTGCACTGACTTGTCACAACGTTGCTCATAAAAGAGGAAGATTCCAACAAAAAATTATTTTAAAATAGATTAAATATTATGTTGCATTCACCTAATAGAACAGTAGGCAGTCATTAAAAAACTGATTTCAAAGGCTGTGTGGTAACCTAAGAAAACATTAAACGATGAAAGCAGTTTGCCAAACTGCACAGGTGCAGCTGAGTCTCATCAGGGTGGCAGTTGCACGTTCTTCAAACCACCGAGAACCCTGAATTAGCAAACGCCGAACCACTGCTTCCAAGGGAAATACGGTATTCAGTTCCTGCCAGCCTCTCTCACAACATATTTGTTAATTATTCAGTATATAACTTTATGTTGTAAGTGTTTCTGCTTGAAGGCACCTTATTTAATATATACTGTTGATTCATTAACATTGAATCCCTGGTCAACAGCACTACCTCATGCCTGAATGAAGCTTGTCTAACACAGACTTTCTCCACAAGGCACGTCATAGCCTTCCTGCACTTCGGAACCCTGGAAAGCTTCGCAGCACCACACGTGGGGGCTCTTTTTAACAGTGAAATCACCAATAAAATACAAAAACAAAACAAAACACGTGACACTGAGTAAACCAAGGAAAGGACTGATTTATGAGATGACAGCTGGAACAAGAAGGCGGAGCGTCACAATGCTCCCGCTAAGCAGGCAACGTGCTAGTGGGCCTGCTGGGAGGTTTTTGCCCCTCCGCACATGCGCACAAATGATCACGAAAGCGCCCTGATTTTGGAGTTACAAATAAATTTTAGCAAGTAGGCAAATTTGCAAATACAGAATCTGCAAGTAATTAAAACCAACTGAAACCTGAATCTGATTTTTTCCCCCGGGGATGGGGTGGGGTGAGAAGCACAGAGAGGAAAACGTAGTAGCAGGCATAGACACAAATGTCAAAGGTAGGTGTCTCCAGAGTAGTGTGGGCCACGGAGATATGGTTAATGTTCTTTTGTTTTCCTTGGGCTTCTTTGAATATTTTCTCTCTCTCTCTCTCTCTCTCTCTCTCTCTCTCTCTCTCTCTCTCTCTCTTTGCAATTTATAGGTTTTATTCTTGTACTCTGGTAAAAAAAAAAATTGTTTTAAAGTTTCTCACTTTGTCCTGCAAGTATCTACACACAACTCTCTCTGTCTCTGTCTCCCCCACCCTCTCCCTCCAAGCCCCCCCCATCTCTGTCTCTCTCTCTCCCCCCTCCCCACCCCTCCATCTCATTTCCCTAGTAGCTCTGCCAAATCAGGTATGATTCGCACCTTAGATAATAGTGCCACCAAGTGTCCATAAGAGGAAACGCAGAGAGTGTCAGGCTGGGGTTGGTGGACACACAGAAGACAAAACCCTAGATTGGGATGCAATGAGAAAAGGTGACACACGAGCAGACTGAGAGAGAGATGCAGGAAGGGGAGTGGAGAGAGTGTACGGAGGGCATGACAAGGTGACTGGTGGGGCGGGGGGGGGCGGGTACACAGAGGCCTGGTGACCAGCAGGCTAAAACTTTCAAGAGGCAAGGTCTCAGCTCCCCCCTTGGCACAAGCCCCTTCCTTCTAGAGGGAAAATGGAGGGTGCAGCTTCTCGCACCAGACCCTGACCCCAAGCCCAAAGCTGCACGGGGGCAGGACCCCCAGAGAACACTTCCACCTCACTGCGAATGAGTTTGCAGTCTGAGTCACCTCCCAGCACACACTGCTCTGAGACCCGTGTTAGATGGGGGTTCAGGAGCCAGCGTGAAGGGGCTCCCAGTGGCCAACTTCAAGACAGTTCATACACCCCCACAATGATGACTGATTTCAACACAGAGAATTAATAAATATTAAGGTCCCATATTAATACTCATAAAGACAGAGGAAGAAGAAAACTCTTCTTCACAGAAAAAGCGCCAGCTGATAAAGAGAAGGAATGTTAACGGGAAAATCACCACTTCGCAATCCCAAGTACACGACTTGCCCAGGCAAGGAGGCCGAGGCTGCACAGAGCATTAGGTGAGAGGCGGCAGAACACGAAATCCACCCGGAGCCAATGGAGCACCCACGGATTACGTGCAGACTGCAGGGGGAGCATTCACTTTGACAAGGGAATGATCTGGAAACACCACCTTCACCAAGTGATCAGTCATCACTGATGATGGGACAGGCTGACATTATCGCTTCCTGATGTGATGCAACATGAGGTATGGAACATCACCTATGACACATTTGTGCCAAAGTATTTCATCTGAACCTAATCTGGTCTTGAGACCTAACTCCAGTTTCCAGGAACTGCCCAGGCCAGCGGGACAAGGCAAATGACATGAGAGGGAGCAGCCAGGCAGATTCAGAACGCGGACACACGGCCCGGGCTCTTCAAAGTTTCAATGGTGCAGGGTGAGAAAAATGGGGTGGGGGCGCGTGAAGGATGCTTAAGAAGAGACAAAGAGGCATAACAACCGAATGCAAAGCACGTATTCCATTTTGGAGAAAATCAGAGAAAATTTGTACACACCATCTAACATTAGGAAATCATTATTAATTTCCTAGGGTGATAATGTTATTATTGTTATTAAGAATTTTCTTTTTCTGGCCCTGGCTGGCGTAGCTCAGTGGATTGAGCGCAGGCTGCGAACCAAAGTGTCACAGGTTCGATTCCCAGCCAGGGTACATGCCTGGGTTGCAGGCCATAACCCCCAGCAACCGCACACTGATGTTTCTCTCTCTCTCTATCTCCCTCCCTTCCCTCTCTAAAAAATAAATCAATAAAATCTTTTTTAAAAAAGTTTTTTTAAGAATTTTCTTTTTCTCAGAAGATACATTCTGAGGACTTTAGAGGTAACGTCAGCAACTAGGTTGTAAGTGATTGAGTGCAGAGGGGGAGGCAGTATCCCTTTAGACAGAGAGAGTAAACGCCACAACATGTTAGCAATTGTTTAATCGAGGTGGAGCCCATACCAGTGGTTGAATGTTCACTGAACCATTCTTTTAACTATTCTTTATGCTTTAAAACATTAAAGGGTTAGGGGAAAAGTCTATTATTTATATGTATGGTGCCTTATGGGTAATTTTATTTACATTTTTCTGTATGTTTCAAAATTCCTTGACAACTATGTACATCAATAATAAAAGTAGGCAGTCTGGACGTCAGAGAGAAGGTGGAGAGAGGAAGTATGCACAGACAAGGCCTTCCCAAGGCCTTCTGAAATCACACCTGGCCCGAGTGAGCGTCTCTGCTTGAGCCCCCTTCTGTGCGCACACGCCCCCAATGGGGGGGCCACAGGCAGCATGTCTGCACCTCACCTGGCCTACACTCTGCCCTTGCCTGAGAATCCTCCTGCGTCTTTGCTCCTTACCATTTTCCCCGCAAAGCTGACCTCCACGAAGGGATCCACCAAGTTCTTCCTGTTACTGTCAAAGCCAAAGAGCTGCTTCACGTTGTCCATCACGGCGTCGTCCACTGGAGAGAAGAATACATTGGTCGCTGTCCACCTGCTGTCCCACCTCCAAAACCCTGACTTCCTGCCTACCGGTCTCCAGGTGGTCTTGGGAAAGAGAGAGAGGCTGTGGCACCTGCTCAGCCCAGGGCCTCACAGGAGGGAGGACCACGTCAGGACAGCAGCTGCTGAAGGCACCGCACCACCTCCTCACCCAGCCCCCACAGCTTGTCCACTGTCTCCCTGCTCTCGGTGTCTTTCGGGACAGGGCCACCAGATGATTGACTAAAAGTCTACCTCAACGAAGGCAGTAAAGCATGGTGTGGCTTGGTTGGTTGGGCATCATCCCACAAACCGAAAGGTCGCCAATTCAATTTCCAGTCAGGGCACATGCCTGGGTTGTGGGCCAGGTCTCCAGTCGGGGGCATGTGAGAGGCAACCGATCGACGTTTCTCTCACACATCAATGTTTCTCTCCCTCCCTTCCCCTCTCTCTAAAAATCAATAAATAAAATCTTTAAAAAAAAATAAGGGCAGTAAACATCCAGAAAAGGACTGGAAGTTGTTATAAGAATATCCCATTATTGATATTTGTTTGATATTTTTCTTCATATTCAACTAACAACTCAATTCTGTTTTTTAATGAATTTTTAATCTATGTTGCTCTGAAACAATATTCTGCTAACTTAGCCATATTGATAGGTAGATAGATGGCAGATAGATAAATGGATAGATGGTAGATGCATATGTGTGAATGCATGTGTATGGACGTGTCATCTGTAATGTACATACATACATGAATTAGGGAGAGGAGGGGACAGTTAAAGATCATATTCTAGCTAGTGTCTATATGACTTCCACAGATAGCAATGATGGACAAATATTTAGGTTCGGTTTACCCACCCATTTTGTTTTATTCATATGTAAACAACATTGCAGAGAATTAAACATAGAGTGCCTTCACCTCAAGCAAAGCAGGCATTCCTATTTAAATCCCCAGCCCCCTGTGGAATCTCTCCAGCTTCACTCTGTGTAGTTGTAACTAATAAATGCAGAATGCTTTTCAGTATGTATTTTAATGACCATTTAATACCCATTGCTATTTAAAGGCTTTCCCCATGACTTTGGTTCAATTAAGCCTGTGCAGAAGGAACCCATTTCATTTATTGATGTCATTAGTCAAAGCAGAGACCTTCCTTCAACCAATTAGCTTTATGCAAAATTTGTAGACAGGGACCCAAGTAGCAAATGTTCTCACTGACTCTGCCATGAACAGCCCCTGGCTTATGCCACCAGTGCAGGCTCCCCAGCGGAGGCTCACTGCCCACAGCACAACCGAACCACCTCAGGAGCCTTTGAAGACAACTGGTGTTCGAATCCTACCCCAAACCAAGTCCATCTGAAACCCTGGAGGTGGGGCCCAGGCGCCTGTACCTTAAAGCTCCCCTGGTGATTGTAACACACAGCCTGGGTTGACGCCCACAGCTCTAGAATGTTAAGTATACAGTAAGTCCTCCCTGAATGTCGTCAATAGGTTCTGTGAATTTAAGCAAACCTACACATAAGGAAACCAATTTTACCACAGACTAATAGATGTAAACCAGAGGTAAGTCCAGATGGCACCTCACCAACGTTATAACGAAAGCTGTGGAACAAAACAGCATTATTTGAGGACCTACTGTAGTCCCCCGACATTTACCAAGCAAGCCAGAGGGCACCAGGCCAGGGCTGGCCCCAGTGAGAGGCCAGGCAGTGGCCACACTGGCTACCCGGGCGGATGAGGACAGGGCCACGCTCGGGTGACCCGCTGTTCCAGTTTGCCGGGGTACTGAATGGTTCCCCAGGACATGGGACTTTCAGTGCTAAAACCGGGACAGTCTAAGGCAAACTGGACGCCCGGCCTTCATCTGTGGAGGCACTGAGCCCTTCCAACAACTCAGTGCATGCTTCCCCCGCCCAGGGTCTGCCAATGTGCAGGCTGGGCTTCCTCAAGGAGGGAAGAAAATCAGTGAGATCCCGCCCTGAGCACAGAACAGAGTCCATATGGTGCTAACTCCCCAGTGAGAACCAAGAAAATGGGTCCATGAGGCTACACAGCCAGAACAGGCCTAAGGGATGCCGACATGGAGCCCAGGGGCAGCGACTGGTCTCAAGATTTCTTGCATCTCTGTGAGTCCACCAGCACTGATATTACTTTTCATTAATTCTGATTGCTTTTCTGATAAGAACAGTAAAAACCCTTGAGAAATCCAGAGAGGGGTTGATGTTTCCCCAGAGGACAGAGTGGAGGGAGAGTCGGGCTGGGCACTGAGCTAGTACCTTCTGGGAGCAAGGACGCCAGGCCAGTGGGAGGCAGGGGGCAGGGCCGAGGGGCCGCCGCTCCATCTGCTTCTCTCCAGGGACCAATGCAGCCCAGCCCAGGGTCCCCCGAGTCCTCCCAGGGCTCAGACCCAGGGAAGTCACCAGACTCACTCTGCGGTAAGTCCTCGGCCCTGAAGACCCTCAGACAGAAGTGTGCTCCTCGAAGAGCCACGCCGGTGGGCCGGAGCAGGTTGCTTTCGATGTCCTCCTTGTCTTCAGAGGGGTCCTTCCTCTCCGGCTACAACACAAACCAGACGTGACTCCTTAAAGCACTCCAGGGCACAACGTTTTCCCTTCCTCAACCGGCACCACCGAAGTGGCGCCCTTTGAAGGAAGGCCAGTCGCACCCAGGCACTGACTCGCATGTAATCCCAGGCAGCGTCCTCACCCTGAGACTCTGTTTCACCGTCTGGGCAGAGGAGACGATAATAACAAGAAGAGAGACTGGAAAGAAAAGGTAGAACAAGATGGCAGAGGACACGAGCACAGGGCGAAGCGGGTAGGGACAGTGGGGCATGGGAGGCGAGGAACGAAGGCGGACACAAGCCCCCAGCATTCCCCTCCGTGCAGCCCCGTCTCTCTAAAGGAGGCTGAGGGTGGAGCTCAGGATGGAGAGGAAAGTTTGGAAACAGCCCCTCTGGAGAATGAGATAAGGAATAAATTGCATCCCAGTAAAGGAGGACGTTGGCAGCACCTATGTCAACCAGCACCTCTGGGTGACTTCTGCCACCAGAACTGACCAAGGAGTGGAGTAGACAATGTGTGGTAGGGATAGTGGGGAACTCAAGGTGCAGGAGACCGAGGGGCTAGTAAGCACATAGTGGGATTTAGGGTCACAGGGTCCAGGCTGTGGGAGGGGAGAGCGTGGCAGCAGGGAGCTGGTGGGCTGGGAAACAGTGATCAGGGGCTGTCACCTCAGTGAGGAAGAAGGGCTGAAGGAGGGAAGAGGCAGAAAGAGACTGGTGGAGAGAGAGACTTCCGAGCTCTTAAAAGAAGATCCGGTGTTGAGGGCTCATCAGTGAGGACATGTCACACCTCATGGCAAAGATGGAAACCTACAAACAAGGACCCTCCTGGGCCAGCTGTGCTGGGGTAGGGATCAGCCTGGAGGACCAATAGAGGGGGAAAGAACCAGTGAAGGGCCTCTGAAGGAGGACGCAGAGCTGAAGTTGGGAAGGGCAGCTGCAGTGAGAAACCAGAGATGGCTGCCCCTGCAATCCCAGAGGCCCAAGAAGAGATGGAGCAGAAAACAGGGGCTTCCCTCCAAGCCAGTTTTAAGAGGAGTGGCTTCATGGGGGGAACTAGAAGGTTCCAATGAATAGGAAGAAGAGCAAGGATTGTTTTACAAAAGGACAATAGATGCAGAGATGCCGCACAGAAGGAGCAAGAAGTACAATGGCAGAGAGACGGGATACAGAGGGTCAGGGCTGGAGTGTGTGGGATGAGAGAGCAGGGCCAGGTGGGGCTTGTGCTCCTGAGCTCCCTCGGCCCCTGCACAGCACCCTCGGCTCTCCTCCCCTGACCTGTCCACTGTGGATTCTTGAGCTCTTGTTTTCAGCCAGCTTTTCACCCTTGGTAGCCTCATGGGATTTGCCCTCTGCTTTCACAATTAAGCGTGGCTTTCCCTGGGCAACCCTACCTCCCACCACCCTTCCCTGGAGATCCCTTGCCAACTGTCCCCTCATCCTGGCCACCACAGTCTGGAGAGAGAGGGCCAGAGCTGGCAGCTGCCCACCACCACCCCACCATCTCTCCTTTCTGGAAGCCCACACCACCACACATACAGCTCTCTCCCCCAGTTCTCACTGTGGTCATCAACCAAGCCAAGGTCATGTGCTCACCTTGCCTTGATGACTTCAGTGCCTGCCTCACCCTTTGCCTACCTGATTTCCAATTCTTCCATAAGATAATCAGCATCCAGCCCTGGCCAGGTAGCTCAGTTGGTTAGAGCATCATCCTGATACGCCAAGGTTGTGGATTCAATCTCCAGTCAGGGCACATACGAGAAGCAACCAATGAATAAGTGGAACAAATCAATCTCTCTCTCTCTCTCTCTCTCTCTCATCAATAAGTAAAATTTTTAAACAGATAATCAACATCCACGTGGACAAGTCACCCAGCAGCACAGTTCCTAGTCCTCCACCAGCAGCGCCTTAGTCTCCATCCCCTTCGGCTGCTGGAGGTGTGGCCAGATCTCCAACCTTTACATGTTAATTAGACCTCAATAAAAAAGTATTAAGAAAAGAAAAATACACATGTATTTTTGTATATCCTTCTGGGAGAATATGCAAAAAGATATTAATAACAGCTCTCTCTCAGTAGTAGAATTATGAGTGATTAACTTTTATTTACACTTTTCCACATGTTCTACATTTCTCATAATTATTGTGTATTCTTTTTTTAAAGATTTTATTGATTTATTTTTACAAAGAGGATAAGGGAGGGAGAAAGAGAGGGAGAGAAACATCAGTGTGTGGTTGCCTCTTGTGCACCCCCTACTGGGGACCTGGCCCGCAACCCAGGCATGTGCCCTGACTGGGAATTGAACTGGGGTCCATTTGGTCCACAGGCTGTTGCTCAATCCACTGAGCTACACGAGCCAGGGCTTACTGTGTATTCTTTTAAATCAGAAAAACTGAAGTCTTTTTGTCTGTTTGTTGTTTGGTCCTCGCTACCAGGGGAAGGTGCTGGGAAGCAGACCCAGGGACATGTACTCACCGGCGCTTCATCTCCAGGCCCCAGCACACAAAGGCTTGCTTTCAGGTAGCCCCTGGCCCCAGCAGAGAAATCGTCAGGGTCTGAGAGCAGCAACCACTTCCTGAGATAGGCATGTCCTGAGCGAGACAACACCCACTGGTGACCACAGAGCTGGAAGGAATCAAGTCTGCACCCACATCCAGGAGCCCAGGGCGGACTACGTTTGGCTGGGATGGAGGGCTTGTGCACTGGGACAGGGGGCAGGACTCAAGTTCTAGAATAGAAGATACTCGGAGTGTGCGAACAGATTTGAGTCAGAAAGGTTAACAGAAACCCCTGTAAGAGGCTGCCAAAGCCAGACCCGAGGCCATTTCCTTCCCTCCCTCAGGAAGTGACCAGGGCAGAGCAGAAACCAGGGTGTGAAGAAACCCTAGATTTGTCAACCAAATGGCCCGACCCACCTGGTCTGAGGTGACCAGCCGCTAGCCACATTTGCTTGGGGCCTTCCAGATTCAGCGTCCCTGGCTGGGCTCGCTGACACCCTCTGGAGGCTGGGTCTCCTGCAGGCTTGTTTTGCCTGGACGCTGAAAGCCTGCCCTCCCCCTCCTGCAGCTCTCACCTCCAGGCTCAAATCCTCCTCTACTTCTAAGCCCCCTAGGGGGAAAGCGCATGTCCCTAATGGGTATCCCCTAGCGGCCTCTGGACCCCAACTGCAAGAACACGCTGAGGTGAGGAGGACGAGACTCACGGGGCTCTCTGTAGATGGTGCCCACATCCATCTGAAAATGAACAGAGGAAGAGACACACTTGAAACTCTGGGCCCTGGGGTGTCACACGAGGTGTGGTGCGTTACATCATCCAATTAAAAACCACGTTTGGAAGAACATTTAGAAACGTGGGGAGAGTTCCTCATTTGATATTACATGAAAAGAAAGCAGAATGCATTTTAATCAAAGTCTGGCAAAGTCTATCTGTGCAAGAAAAGAAAGAGGAAAGGAAATACAACAAAACTGTAACTGTGCTCTCTCTGGGTAGTTGACTTGGGTGGTTTTTATTTTACTTTTATTCTTTCCTATATTTTATAATTTTCTTTTTAAAAATAAATCATAGATTAGTGTGACCCAGAAGCGTCTTTCTCAAGGCTCTCCCCGTCTCTGTGGGAAGGGAAGGACCTAACTTCAGGGCACGCCTCACTCCAAGTTGTAAAACTACCTCCTATCATAAAAATGTGAGATTCTTTTCTGTTTTTCCCTCTGGATAAAGTCAGTTAGCTGACCCAGATGGTCACCCCCCGATTACCAGATCAAGTTAGGACTCGGGAGCGAGGGTGATGTCAAATCCACCTGCTTGAGGACCAGGTACTGTCACCTGAAGACCATGTATGGAAGGGGTCCTGTCTGCTGGGCTGTATGAGACGATTTCTTTACCATCTCTGAGTGGACTGCCTTGGTGCGCAGCCTATGCTGGTGCAATGGTTATTCAGTAACAAAAGTGTTCTCTTTCCCTACCACCTTCGTAAAGAGGGTTTCTGGGCTGGCAGATTTTGTTTTGTTTTATTTTGATTTGTTAGTTTTATTTCACCAGTACAGACCAAAACAGGCAGAATCTCTGGGATGCTGACCCTGGCACATTACCCACAGAGCCCCCACCAACACGGATAAGTGAGAACTAACTGCTTGCAAAGAAAATAAACAATTACCCGGAACTCCCCGATGAGAGCGTCCGTCCTGAGGGAACGGGAGTCTACCACCTGGAGGAAAGGATAAATTAAAACTCCCATTTACAAGTAAATGTTGGCCCAGACAGGGTTCAACCCAGTAGCCCTTCCCTCCCACACTCTACTCCAGAGACCATGCTAAGCCATCTTTAACCCGCACAAGGACACTGTGCGTAGGTGCTGTTACTGTCCCCGTTTCAGAAATGGAGAAACGGAGGCCAAGAGAGACTGCAGGACCCATACAGAATCGGGCAGCCCCTAAGTGGCAGAGGCAGGGTGAGAATCCAGTTTGGCTCTAGAGCACACACTTTTAACCACTGAACTCTTTTGCCTTTTGGAGGAAAGGAAGAAAGAGCCACTGGGGCCCAGAAAGAGAAAATCTTGGCGGGAAACAGGCACACAGAACAAACAACGTATGACGAAAGTCAGTGTGCCCACTGCAGGACCCTGACCCCAGACGCCTGGGGGTGCTGACAGCAGGGCCTCCCCACTCGGCTGCCACCCCCCTCTGAACTGCTGACGGCATCTCTGTGACCCGCAGAGCTTTGGGGTGAGCTGCTCCACGGCGCCCCAGCCCTGGGCCTTCAGGCCCCTCTCTCACACATACAGTGACAGGGATATGTGTGCGCACAGCCCACAGAGAGCGCCCTGACCCCCCGAACGTACCGTGATAAATATGGGCTCGTCAAACAGCTCCGACGGAGAGTCAAACACGTTGAAGAAAAGAGTCTGTTGGTTCAGGGCAAAGGGAGATGAGTGCTTGCCTGCTGACCCCCAGGCCGGGGCACAGGTCAGCCACCAACCACAGCCTTTGGGTCTGGTCCACATGGAAAGTGTGGAGTGAGCTCAGACCAGCACTGAGCTCTGGGGACTTGACAGATGCTGGGATGTTCCTCCCCTGACCCCACAGAGGCTGTCATCCCAGGGACAGGGTGGTGGCTGGCCCTGCAGGATGACCGGGATGTGGAGCTGTGGGAACCCGAGGCATGTCCTCAGATAGCTTATTCGAGACCTGGCACGTCTCTCCACCCAGCGTTAGCGCCGTGAGCGAAAACTGAAGTGAGTGCCAGGGGTCTGCTGTGTGCTCCCAATTCAGAGGGCCCACGAGGTCCTAGCCCTAATACCAGCGCCTCCCACCTCGTTGAAGAGTGGGCTGTTTCCCTTGTGGATCCGAGTCCGCTTGGTCTGTCCCGCAGCAGTGACCTTGACCACAGGCTTGATGTTCACCCCTGGCAGCTGGCGCCCCTCGATCACCTGGACCCTGATCTGAAAGCCAGGATGGAGTGTGAGCAGGAGGAAAGTGGAAGTGGTCAGAAACACACACACGGAGACACACACACACACACACACACACACACACACCCATCACTGCCCCAAAAGAGCCAGAAATCTCAGGGACCATCCTCACTGCTGGCTTTTGGGAAGGGTCTTAAAAAAGAATTAAGAGTCTTGTACAAAAAAAATCAGACCTTCCCACCAAGGTCCCTTGCACCTGTAGATCTCATTGCTCCACATAGGAGCTGCCAGGCTACCCCAGCATTAAATCCCAGGACTGAGGCAAGGATGCAGCCCCAGGTACACGCAGCCATCAGCACCTCAGGCCCTTTGACGCTGAAGTTCTCACGCAGCCTGAACATTCTTCACCAGCAGTTCACTCAGAGACGGAACTCGGAGAGCGAAGTGCCCCCTCTGTTCTTTGTTAGATGCAGGGCTGTCCCACATTCTGAGGAACCAATTAGGAGTTTTTTTCTACTGAACTGTGAGTAAATGAAGGTGTCAAGAATATCTGCTTCCAAATTTAGGCAAAATATTTAAAATATGATATTTTAAAATATTAAAACAATTTTCATGGAAAAATAGTGTGTTTACTGGTTCTAATTTCTAATCAGCAGTTATTTATTGATAGACTTTTTTAAAAAGCATACTATAAAAGAATATATTATTAAAAACAATGGAAAGGTAGATAAGTGGTTTTTATTCTCTTTGCTGTCTTTTCCAAATTTTCTACAATAAAATATTAATTTTCTAAGGATAAAAAAAGCAATAAGAACATGTCTTGGGAATAAATAACAACAAAAATAAGTTAGAACTTTGTCTTTCAGGCAAATATAGTGCTGATAGCACTTTTTTCTCACTAACCATGTTTTAGATATAAAATATATTTTTACTATTTTTTGCACTTAATGAAGATTTGTTTCCTATTTGTAACTTTAAAAGTACATGGTTCTAAAGAGTAAAGTATCACTAAATGCAACTATATCAAAATGGAAATTCTGTAGAAAAGCAAACAAGTAAGTGTCCCAGGTTCGATTCCCAGCCAGGGTACATGCCTGGGTTGCAGGCCATAACCCCCAGCAACTGCACATTGATGTTTCTCTCTCTCTCTCTCTGTCTATCTCCCTCCCTTCCCCTCTAAAAATAAACAAATAAAATCTTTAAAAAAAAGAAAAGAAAAGAAATATATTAGTGCTTTAAAAAAAAAAGAAAAGCAAACAAGTAAGCAACAGATCAAAATTAAAAGGCAAATAAAATGGAATCGATTTTTTGGATAAAAATGTGTCAAAGGGTTAATATTAGTTTTATTCTCTGAAGAGCTTGAACAAATTCAAATTTCATAGACTTTCAGAAAAACCCATGGCCATAAAGAAGGGCATGGGCATAGAGAAAAGAAAGAGAGCTAGACAGAGCTTTTTAGATTTGGAGATCTTGTTAAAATGCAAATTCTGGTTCAGCCGGTCTAGGGCTCTGTATTTCTGCCCAGCACCCACGCGACCGGCGCTTGCGCTGCTGGTCGAGGACCGCACTCTGAGTAGCAGCAGCTAGCCAGCCAGAAAAACTCTGGTTGGGAAACAGATAACAGGTGTGAGTTATGCTGAACCTCTACAGTGCACCTCCCCCACTTTTTAAGAGCAAAACCTAGGGCTGAGTAGAGGTTTATTCTGAGGCCCCAAGATGTGAACTGCCCATTCCTGGAAAAGCCTGGAAAACTAGGCTTCCCCCTAGGAGAGCTTCAGGGTCCTCCTTAGGACTGGACAGACAAGCGGGCACCGGGCACTGGCAGCTGTGGACCCACTGAAGGGGAGACTGTGGTCAGAGAGAGCCGCCCATTACCTGAAAGTCCTGCGGCTTGTCCGACAGCACCTTTCTGGGTGTGGGTGTGCTTCTCTTCCTCTTCGTCCCAGGGTGGTATGGGGGAGGGTGGGACACTGGCTTTTTCGGAGTGGTAGGAGCCCCAGGGCCTGGAACACCACTCTGATCCAGGAATGGCTCTGCCTCATCTCCCGTGAGCCCCTGGTCCTCGGTGTCCTCCTCTCCTCCTGTGTCTGGGAGGAGAGGGTGCAAATGAGCTCTGGGTCCCTCTGGCCCTGCCCTTGGACCTTCTGAGCTAACAGAGGAGCCAAAGGGCCTGGGCATCGTTATGGCCCCTCTCCTTCTCCCACTGATGAGCCAGGGTGGACAAGGAAGGAAGAAGAGAAACTTTCAACAGCTAAAATGTGAGGGCGGTCAGTCCAGTTAGTCAACAGGAAGGAAAGAGAATGGCCCTAGCCCTTCCCACCACGTCCTGCAGGGTGGACCCCTCTGACCACCTCATCCCCTTCTTGAGAGCTGATGATGGCAGTGAGGAGATGGTTATGGGTAATAGGGCTGGGGGCAGGGCAGCCCTGGCTGTGTCTCACCCGTGGGGGCCAGCCACTTCTGTCCAGAGTATCTGGTGTCCACAGTGTTGTCACTGAGCAGGGACCAAGTCTCGGCCCGGCTCTGTCTCCCACCTGGCACGTGGGCAGGGCGCAGCCCCGGGAGGGGAGGAGGGAGCTGGGTGAGGGAGGTCAGCCTGGCTCCTCCTCTCCCACCCAACCCTGCTCTCCCTGCCCCTGCCCCCAAGCCTGACACAAAGCTCAGGAACAGATGCTTTGTCCACTGGGGACTGTCCCTCTCACCACCTTCTAAGCAGGACTCAGAGTTGGTCAGCCCTAAGAGCCTCCCCTGAGCTGCATGAACCTAACTCTGTCAGAGCCACATTCGGGGCCCTGAACACTCTCGCCCTATGTCACCAGAAGCGCTCCTTCTTCCCCCCTCAGCCTGGACCCCAGTCCAGATGAGCACCCGTGTCCAAGCTCAGATGGTGCAAGCCTCTACAAGAGGGGCCCTGCTCTGCCCCCTCACCATAAGCCCCGCAGAGGGCCAGGCTCCAGGACAGGCTCAGGGCACATGGAGGCAGGGCTGCTCAGGTTCAATGCTGTGTTTGCCTCTGGGTCTCTTCACCACGAGAGAAGCTGTACACTCTTTCCGGTGGGTGAATTCTCACCTGGCCTATCTGTGTGGCTTCCTGCCCGCCCAGCCGGCCCGCTGGACCACCCTCCCCCCTCCCCACCCACCCACTGGTAAGCCAGCCACCCTGGGCTTGGTCCTCCTTTGACAAGCCCAGCAGAGGCAAATGAGGAGAACGGAAGCCACCTGGGACTTGGCTAACTGTTGGCTCTTTTCACAAATGATAAACTATACACCCAGAGAGGGAGAGTGGCCAGTCCAAAGTCACATACTACTTGGTGTCAAAGGCAACACTGGAACTCATAACTCATGTCTCCTAACTACAACCCAGAGTTCTTTCCATAAAAATCCAACTCTTCTGTCACCTGCCATCACTGAAGGCCTGCTAAATGCCAGACATGGAGGCGCTGGGCTCTGGGGAGTGGGCGGGGCCTCAGGTGCCACCTGGGACAGGCTCATCCCAGCACAGACGCAGCTTCTGGAGCACCCACCCATCCGAAGCTGCACAGCGCAGAGCACCCAGCCCAGGCACAGCACCCCCCCACAAGGACAGCTGGGCGGGGTGGGTCCACATGCTCATCCTAGGGGAACACACCCTGCTGTCTTTCCTGCACGGCAGGAGGCCACTCTCAGGACTGCCACCCACCAGTGTCCACTCTTCTCCCCTCACCTGGGGAGGGTGGCACAAGCTACTGAGGCCTCCCTGTGGCCCCCACCCCCGGGCTCGGGAGCCTCAGCCAGGCTTCTCCCCCTGGGCCCTGCCAAGGTGAGGGGCTCCTCACCTGCCATCATATCCTGGTCAGGCAGAGTCGGGGAGGGTTCCAGAGGAGTGGTGGGTGGGAAGAGGGGCACGGCTCCAGGGAGCGGCGTGTACGACACCTGCAGGACCAGCGAGGCCTGGGAGAGATAGGTGAGGGGGCAGCAGGTTAGAGCATCGGCCCCAGACCACCGTCCTCCACCGTTTTTCCTGTTCCTTTCATCGCTCCACCAAGGAAGGCGGCTCTGACAGTCAGGTTTGCAGGAGAGCCTCCCCTAAGGGTCCATCAGCACAGTCAGGTAGTTAAAAGCACATAATCTGAAGTCAGGGTCCACCCTCCAGGAGCTGTGCAACCTAGGGCAGGATGTGTAACCTCTCTGTGCCTCAATTTCCTCCTCGATAAAATGGGGGTAGTGATAGCAATAATGCCTTCCCTGTGGGTCCAATGAGGATTAAATGAGTTGATAGAGCACATGATAAGCTTCTATAAATGACTCATCAATCCAGCCTCTCCTGCCGGACTTTTCCACTCTCAGCCCAGGCCTGTCTTCAGGAAAAAGCCCCCTTGACTGCTCTGCTCAGTCGACGGCCCTCCCCGGTGTCTCTGCAGACAGCTCAGGTTCGTTCTGCTCAGCCCCATCCCTGAGATGGGCGCTCTGAGCCTCTGCTCTCCCAGAAGCACCTCTGTCCCCACCTCACCACCAGGGGCTCCAGCTCTGACCAGCCAAGAGGAGAGTGACTGGCCGAGTCATTCACGTGGACAGAGGAAGGCTGCCTTGTGCCCCCCACCCCACCCACCCCCACCATGACACTTGCACTGTTCCAAGGGGCCCCTGAACCTGAAGAAAAGGGACAATTGCAGCAGGCTCTCCAGCCTTGCAGCTCCTAGGCCAGTGGGGGCCTGGTCGAGCCTTCCCTGAACCCCAGGTCCAACAGGCCTCCTGGGGCGGCCTCATTTTAATCAATCAGAGTAATAAATGCTCTATTTTTTAAAGTTTGGAAAGTTAAAAAATGTTAAAGAAAAAAAAACAAGGCAAAAGGAAACAAATTGCTATAATTCCACTACCGTTCACATTTCAATGTTCTCTCCAATCATTTGAAACAGTGCACAGCTGTCATATACAAAATGCTTTTCTTCTACTTAATGTTAAACAATAAGCATTTCCCCAGGTTTTGACAATCCCTTTATAAACATAATTGTTAATGATGCATAATATCATCTGAGTGGCTCTAGTATAACTCATTAGACATCTATGTCTACTGAGTAAATTAAGGATGTCCAGAAACTCCCGTAGCAAATTTTGATTCTGAGACAGAAGGTGCGCAAGGCCCTGGATGTATATACAGCTTGGGGCTTGAACCCTCTGGACTGGGGTCTGAGCGGGGGCAGCCAGGCTAAGTAAAGGTAGGGCTGCTGGGAGGGTGGGGCTCAGAACACTGAGGAAGGGAGGCCCTGGAGGAAGCCCTTGAAGACAATGAAGCCCCGAGTCCCTGATCCGAGGGAGTGCCTAACGGCCGCTGCAGGTTCCCAAACCAACCACCTGGTGTCGCCACTTGTGCAGCCAGCGCACGCCGCACCGGCGCCTCAAGCTTCTGTAACCCAAAGAAGGAAAAAGCACAGCTTCTCTGGCCACGCCCCAGATATCCAGACCCGCCCACAGCCACACCTGAATGCTGGAGACTCCAATTCAGGTCTGGTGTGGATCTGAACATCTGTATATTTCTCCACAGGAGAAATAACTAATTCCATGGTTAGACCAGGATTGGTGGAAGATGACCCTGGGACATTTTTTTATTCCAAAAGGCAAAGAAGTACTCAAAGAATGATAGAAACATACCAAAAAGACATAGAGTCAGTGGCTGTCACTAGCCAAATCTGGGGCAATTTAAACATGAAAATAAATGATAGTAACATTAAACCATTGACTAAACGAGGAATATGTGAATCCATATGGAAATAAATAAGTAAAGCAGGAAAGAAGATTTTATAAACATTTCTTATGGTGAAATGCCAACTGATTAATGCAAAAAAAACAACTGACTTAGAATACCACCATTTAATAACCATCACAACAATAATGAACCCAACCAGGAAGCAACAATAGTTGTTAAAACTGGTGGGTAAAAGTTGGATCAGGAACCAGGTCTTTACACAGAGTACCTCCCCCTCAAACTCTTACTTATAAGGGTAATAGATCTGGGATTAGTGCAGAAACCCAGCAAATGCTACTTTAACTAAATAAGCAAGCTTAATAACACAGCAATGGAACAATCAAAATCATGTCACCCTGGAGTCCAGTAAGGGCAGCACAGCGTCATTGTGGAATATTCCTGCCCAAGATGCACACCCTAAATCTAATCACAAGGAAACATCAGGCAGGCCCAAACTGAGGGACAGCCTCCACGATAACAAGCCTGTATTGCAAAAATGTCAAGGTCACCAGGTTATAAACATCAAAGAAAGGCTGAGGAATGTTCCCAGAGAGAAGGAGACCAAAGGGACAAAACAATGAACACAACACACAACCTTCCATCGGATCCCTGTGTTCTAAAGGACACTGCTGGAAAAGGTGATGCAACCTGAATGAGGGTCAGTGGATCAGAAGGCAGTGCTGTCTCAACGTTAATTTTAGCAGTGTGGAAGACTGTTCTGGTTCGGTAGGAGAAAGTCCTGAAGCAGAGAAAACACACACTGAATTCGGGGAAGTGGGCCAGGAGGTAGGCAACTCAGGCTCAAATGGTTTAGGGCAAACTATTCTTTATCCCACTCTTGCAACTTTTCTCCAAATCTTAAATTATTGTAAAATAGAAGGTTAAGAAAACCTGAGAAATCTGCTTCTGCTCTAACCACAGGAATTTCACTCAGCAGAGACACATAAGACCCCCCACCCACTCATGCTGATTCCACTCTCAAGGAGTAGTGTGAGGTCAAGACCAGCCACACAGTTTGCAGGCCTAGGGCAAAATAGAAATTCAGGCTCCTTGTTAAAAAATTTACTAAGAATTTCACTCTGACTGGTGTAGCTCAGTGGATTGAGCGCTGGCCTGAAACCGGAAAGGTCACTCTTTCAATTCCCAGTCTGGGCACATGCCTGGGTTGCAGGCCAGGTCCCCAGTGGGGGGCGTGCCAGAGGCAACTGATTAATGTGTCTCTTGCACATTGATGTTTCTCTCCCTCTCTTTCTTCCTCCCTTCCCTTCTCTCTAAAAACAAATACATGAAATTTTTGAATAAAATTTACTAAGAATTTCAAGATGGTGATGGCAGAGAATTCAAACACGCACAGGCCCCAAATGCCCATGAGGCTGCCCTGCATGGAGTGTCTGCTTGGCTCAGCCTGCTTCTGAGTGGGCCCTGCATCTGAAAGACTTGGAGTGGGGCTCCACTGAAAACAGCGGGCCATTCATTCGCTTATTCATTCCCACCACAAACATGTACCGAGCACCTGCAAGGAGTTCAGCAGCAAGCACCCCAGGTTATTGCAACACTTCCATGAACAAAGCAAAGGTTCCTTCCCTCACAGAGCTGACATCTGAGAGAAGAGGTGGACAATAAACACAAGAAAAAATAAAGAAAAAAAAATATATATATATATATTATACAGCCTGTTAGAAAGAAAAGGAAAGGGCCCTGGATGGTGTAGCTCAGTGGATTGAGTGCAGGCCTGCAAACCAAAGGGTCATCAGTTCAAATCCCAGTCAGGACACATACCTGAGCAGCAGGCAAGGTCCTTAGTAGGGGGCATGTGGGGGGAAACCACACATTGATGTTTCTCTCCCTCTCTCCTTCCCTTCCACTCTCTCTTAAAATAAATAAATAAAAGAAAAGGTAAACCAGAGCAAGAAGGATCAGGATCAGGGAGCAGGAAGGAGTACAAGTTGTTGTATCAAATCAAGTGGTCTGAGTGGACCCCAACGAAGTGAAGAGAGCTGAGCAAAAACTGAAAGGGGTCAGAGCTTGGCTGTCCTTCAGCCCGAGGTTCTTCTTACATTTGGTGATTGAGGTCCCCTGACCCTGGGCCACATCCCCTTGGAGAACACCCTTTCCTACCAGACCTCACCCTGCCTACCCACCCCCTCCGCACCACATGTGGGCCCCTGGCACACCATCTCTGTGCAGAGTTGGAGCTTCAGGAAGGTAAGGAGGGTAATGCTATGGCCTGGGTGTCAGCACCTTAGCACTCGGGCTCAGGAGCAGCCATTGGAGCAGCCGTTTGGGAGAAGCAAGGGCAACCCTCTCGGGGGTTCCCTGAACATCCTACTTCCTTCACATCAATAGCTCCACACCAGCCTCCTGAAGAATGGGCCATGTGTTGCTGGCTCCAGGTGTTTGAATGAGACTTATAGCCCAGACCCAGCTCCATCCTTTAGATGTCCACCAAGGAGCCACAGGAACGACCTTGGAAACTTCCCAGGATCTAAAACAGGCCTCGCCACCAGGGGGCAGGCTCCAGGGACCACTGCTTCAAGACCAGGGGCCATTCCTACCAGAGGCTCTAGCTCTGCTGAGAATCTAAAAGAAAGGGGGCATGTCTGTGGGACCCACCCCCATAAGGACATCCCACACTCACCATGACATCAAACTGTCCCCATCTCCAGATGTAACCAGAGCTGAGAGTCTTCCTGTGGGAGGTATGTGAGCTCCGTGCTTTCCCAAACCACAGGGCCTTGGACTACAGCCCCCAGGAGGACCCTCTTTCAGTGCCCACACATGACAGCCCCACTCCGCAGGTCTCCGGCCGCAGCACCACCACGCAGACATCCTACCACCAGCCCTAATCAGTCAGGCCTGTGTCCACCAGCACATGCTGGCCTGGGGCAGGAACCTTTGCCTCCCATGTCTGCCACCTTGGGGTCACAGTCAGCAATATCACAGAATTCTGGAGAGTTTCCAGAAACAAAAGGCAAAGGCAGCAGACAACTCATCAGGTCCTCCTACAGGTCGTGCAGCCACATACTGCCTGAGGGACAGGAAAGCCCCGTGTGCACCTGGACCTTACTTACCTTTCCCTCAGACAACATCCAGAAGCTGGCAGAGGGTGGGATGTGGCCCTGAACTGAGGCAGTGGTGGCGGGGGGGTGCAGCATCTTCAAACCCCCTGGGGGAAACAACTCAGGTTTCACCAAACACTCAGGCCCCTGCTCCGGATACACAGTCCCTCCTGGCTCTCCAACCCACCACACCACTGGGCCTCATGTGTTCTCGTCACCCAACAGGTTCCCCTTTCTGATCTGACTCTGGCTGTTAAGGCCGAAGCGATGCCGACACGTGTTCACAATGTAGCCATGCCCTCATTAGTGAGCTGCTCTCTCTCTCTAAAGACATTTGAGCATGTTACTTCTTTCCTCCCTGTGTGTCCACTCTCCCACGGGCTGGAGGCCCCCCCAGGACAGGGCTAGTGTTCTCCTCTTCAGTCCAGAATCTGTCTGAGGGTACACCTGGCATCTTCTCCTGGCGCACAGCCCAGCGTGCCGTATCTGAAGGGACTTAGGTGAGAACACTGAGCGACAGGCAGTTGGAGTCTACACCCTGCCTGCAGCAGGCCCACTCCTCCTCTCAGCCCTCCCGGGTTTTTAAGGATCCCACAGGTGCTATGTTGACCCCTATCACTCCATCAGCAGGATCCTTTGGCCATCTGAGACAGTCTGAGCTGCTACCAACTGGGGATGCCTGGCATGCTCCGTCCATTGTGCTCAGCCCAGAAATTGACTTCAGGAAAGGGCCGGGGAGAATCTACAGCTGCTGGCAGGGCTCTCTGTCGTTCTGTCATAACCCCAGTTTTCTGTGCCTCCCTCCTCAGTGCAGCCAGCCCCAAGGCCCTGGTGGGAAGCCCCAGCTCAGAGGGGACCTTCCTGGGGCTGCACTGTGCTTAGTGCTATCACAGGGACTAGAAGATGGTCCTGGACCCTCTGCACAGGCCAGAGCTGCCTCCTGGGCAGCAGGGAGGGAGGCCCCACCCCTCCTAGGCTGTGCTCAGCTGGGGCTAAACCAAGTGGGCCCAGTCCTCCTCTCCCATCCATCATCTTCTGGCTCTCACAGCTGCTTCTTGGAGACATGGTATGTGAAGGATTGACAAGCTCTGCAGACAACCGGGGATCTCAGCCTTGGAAAGAGGCTGCAGGCTCCCAGCTGGCGAGCTGAGGCACAGACAGACCATGGGAACCAAGAGTGAGAGAAGGAGAGGTGAGGCCTCTGGGTGTCACCAGCCTGGCTCAGCCCCATGGACAGGGACCAGGTGTGAAAAGCTCTGTCTCAGGGGGTGGATGCGTCTTTGAGCTTGGAGGGGAGCACGTGCAGAACTTGCAGGAATCACCAATGTCACCGATGCACACCGGGCTGGAGTGGACAAACATTTGAGCAGCTTAGCCAGGAAGTGGGAAGCCCAGCTGGAGGCAATGGGGGCTGGACACACAGGGAAGTAGGGGCCCCATCCCTGGGATGCGATGGAGAAGCACTGCCCAGACCCCCTGCTGGATGCCTATGCTTTCCCCATTAGTCCTCCACACCCGCAGAGTTAACTACAGCCCTTTCCAGGATCCCTCGGAGGGGAAGCTCCTGACATCCCTGGACTCCTTGACTGTAGTGATGTGATCTGCTGATTTATAAGAAGAAAAAAACAAATATATATATATATATATATTTGGTCTTATACCCTGTTTCTGGCACAAAGCTCCTAAAACCCTTGTCATTTCCTAAGTGATAAGTGTGTCATTTGCTGTATCAATGAGGTGACTTTTGGAAAGCACCTGAGGATGGGGGCTCGTTGCCAGGGATCCAACCGTGTGACTGGAGGGTGGAACTTTCAGCCCCACATTCCCTTTGCCCTCTCACGCCCCTACCACCACCCCAGGCACCCCAGCCCACAGGGAGGAAAGCGGAGATTGAGTTTAATCCCCAGTGGCCAATGATTTAATCAACGGTGCCTGTGTAATGAAGCCTCCATGAAAACCCAAAAGGACAGAGTCTGAAGCGCCTCTGGGCTGGTGAGCACCCGTGGAGATCAAGGAGATGGGTGCACCTGGGAGGGAGTGGAAGCTCCTCGCCCCTTTCCCCATACCCTGCTCCATGTGTCTCTTCCACCGGCTGTTCCTAAGGTACATTCTTTTATAATAAACCAATAATCTAGTGAGTAAAATATTTCTCTGGGTTCTGTGAGCCACTGTAGCAAATCAATTGAACCCAAGGACAGGGTCGCTGCAACTTCCCGTCTATAGCCAGTGGGTCAGAAGCACAGGTGATAACCTGGACTTGTGAGGGGCATCTGGGCGCAGGGGGAGCAGTCTTGCAAGACTGAGCCCTCAGCCTGTGGGAGCTGATGCTGTCTCCCTGCAGAGAGGGTCAGAATTGAGTTGAATGTAGGACACCCAGCTGGAGTCAGAGAATTGCTCAGTGGGGTGGGAGGGAGAAACCCACACACCTACACTGGAAATTGTAATTAAAAAAAATCAGGAGCGTTAGGAGATGGGAGAGTTCAAAGAAGTCAAGAGAGGATTCTGGCGGTGATGGAGACAGGCTCAGTGAATACTGCCCTGAACCAGAATGTTCTACCAGTGAGCACGGTCTGAGAAAAGAATGGACTCTCCTGGGAAGTGGCAACTCCCCAGCAAGGAAGAATCCCAGTCTTCACAGACTAAGACTCCTCGGGAGAAAGTTCCAGAATCAGGAGGGCAGTAAACCAGGTGTCCATTCAAGGCCCTTCCACCCCTGAGAGCTTAGGGGGTGCACCCTCTGACTCACATCCCCACTCAGACACCCCTTCACTGTGGGACTTTAGTCAGTCACCCTCTTCCTCCAGGTCTCGGTGCCCTGTAGCCATTCCATTCAGAGCTCTGCACTGACCGGCCCCTTCTGACTCACCAAGCCATCCAGGAGCCCCCATACTCACACACACACACACACACACACACACACACACACCATGGGGAAAGGCAGCCCCATCTGTCTGAAAGGAGTCAAGCCCAAGATCCCCATAGGTGCCACCAGGAGGAACTTCTTCCATACTGATAGTTTCCGCAGTGCATCCTGGGAGGCTGACCCAAAGGGAAGGCCAGGAATTCTACTGACCAGGAAGAGAGAACCCTGCAGAGTATATTTAGCTCACTAAAAATAACAGGAGGCCAGGGATGAGGGCTGGAAATGGTCTATAGGAACTAGGAGAGGACTGGGAAGGCGGGGGGAGGGCGGGAAGGACAAGGGAGGGAAGGAAGGGGGTCTGACAGACCCCGGTGGCGGGAAGGGGGTGTCTGTCTGCCTCCCTTCCCTTGTGGGCTATGACCCAGATGATTCAGATATTCTGGATCTGGAGAAGGGGGTTGGGTGGTGAGAACCGGCTGCCAGGGAGACTGTGGCGGGAGCATCACCAAGGCTGCGGGAAGCTTGGGGAGACATCGGTCTCTGGTGCAAAACCAACCCCAAGAAGGGACCAAGGGGCAGGCCTGGCTGGTGTGAGGCAACGATGACTTGAGCCCTGCAGGTGGGACTGGGCTCCCTCTGGTCCCCCTCCTATCTCTTCCACCCAAGGGCCCTTCCCAGGCACCCTGAGCTCTGGCCTGGCAGAGCCAGGACTGGTTGCTGGGGGCTGGAGTACGATCCAACCTGGGGCCAGAAAGGCAAAGCCCGGGCCCAGACACTGGCCTGAGGCAGAGGTTCGATGAGCACTCACCCCTGTAGGCTGCTTCTTGGAGTCCAGCAGGGGGGCATTGAAGCTGGCAGACAGACTAGGAGTGGCAAGGACCTCCCGCAGTGGGATCTTGGCTTCCCCCAGGAACCTGAGGACGGGAAAAGAAGAACATAGAAAACAAGCCTAACATGCCCGGCTCTACTCCCACCACACCCCTCACCACCCCCACCACCACACGGACACCACACAAACAAGCTGCTCTGCCTAGAATGCCAGCCACCTAGGACTCTCCAAGGTTCCCTCTGCCCCGGTCACCCCATGCTCCATCCCCAGAAGGGCAGGCCCCTCTCCCTGCACGAGAGGGACACCTTCCCTTACTCCACCGTCAACTTTGACCCCTTTCAGCCCCTCCCCAGAGGCCCTGCCCCACCACCCCTGTCTGTCTGGGTGCCCCACACAAGGACTGTCTTGGCCATCAGACCTCAGCAGTGCGCCAGACGGGCATCTCCTGAAAGCAGGGGCAGACTCTGCACCATCACATCTGCATTGCTCCCACACCTCAGCGGCTCGCCTGACCCACGTCTCCACAGACCGTCTATACTGCTTCCCTAGAGCTTGGTCAGCAGTGATTATTCATGAAAAACAGACTTTCCTGTCTTTGGGGACAGGGAGATAAGAAAATTGGGGAAGAGGAAACACACTCCACTCCCAAGAGAGGCCGGAACTGTCACACCACACACACCTGAGGCCACATCTCTGACTGAGGGCTGGGGGCCCCACAAATGGGTAGGCTCTTAGGAGCGAGTAGGTCACCAGGTAATGATCCGTGAAGAGACCCTTCAAAGAGTGTCAAGGGAAGTGAGTCTGTTTTCCAAACTGCACCCGCAGTGGCAGCAGGACATCGGGAGCAGCAAGTGGCCTGTGCAGATCACAGCTGCAGCCTGGAGCTTGCCCCGGACTCCTGCACGCCTCCTGCACAGGAGCAGGAGCAGCCTCAGCTGTCCTCTCACCACTTGCTTCTTCATCATTTCCCCCATGTTTAACAGCACACCTGTTATCTGAGCCCTTCCTTCTTACAGTCTCTGTAACAACTGATTTGAATATGGGTTTTTATGACCTCATGAAATAAAACTTCAATCTTGACCTAACTAGCTGATTTTTTAAACTGACTGCTTACAATATCACAGCTATTAGGATGGTTACTATCAAAAGAAACAGAAAATAACAAACGTTGGTGAAGACGTGGAGAAACTGGAACCTTGTGCAATTAGTAGGAATGAAAAAAGGCATAGCCAATGTAGAAAACAGTACAGTGTAGGCCCTGACTGGGTTGCTCAGTTAGTTGAAGTGTCATCCCAATATACCAAGGTTGTGGGTTCAATCCCTGATCAGGGCACATACAAGAATCAACCAATGAATGCAGGAATAAGTAGGACAACAAATTGATGCTTCTCTCTCTCTCTCTCTCTCTCTCTCTCTCTCTCTCTTTCAAAATCAATAAGGAAGAAAGGGAGGAAGGAAGGAACAAAGGAAGGAAGGAGAAACAAAGAGAAAGAAAACAGTATGGTGGTTCCTCAAAACTTCAAAAATAGAACTACAATATGACCAAGCAACTGCACTTCTGGGCATTTCCCCGAAAGAATTAAAAATCAGGGACTTAAAGAGATGTTTGTACACACACATTCATAGCAGCATTTGTCACAATAGCTACAAGGTGGAGACAACCCAAGAGCCCATCAGCAGATGAGTGGAGAACTAAAATGTGGTCTACATACATTGGAATAGAATATTATTCAGGCTTAAAGAGGAGAGGCCTTCCGACACTTACTGCAATGTGGGTGAACCTTATTTCACGTTATGCTAAGTGAAATAAGATATATACAAAAGGGTAAGTATTGTACAATCCCACTTAAGAGGTACCTAGAACAGGCCAGTTTAGAGAGATAGAAAGTGGAACAGCAGCTCTCTGGGGCTGGGTGGAAGGGGGAGGAAAGTCACTGGGTGAGTACAGACTTTCAGTTTGGGGTGACAAACATGCTCTGGAGACGGGTGGTGGTGACGGTGGCACATCCCTGCGAATGTACTTAATGCCACTGACGTGCACACCTAGAATGCTGTGAGCAAAGAGCGGGGGCTGTGTAATAAACCTGAAAAGCTCAGACCACAGTGGGCAGTCACCATCCCAGGCCCATGGCTTCCTTAGCAAAAGTCACTCTTTACCTTAATGGAGGAACCCCGTCCGTTGTTCTTATGTTCTAGGGTATCATATCTTTGAAACATGAGAGCACTTCTCTTTTCCTGCCCCTCAAAGGCACAGACCGAGGCACCAGAGCACAAGACCACAGAACACTTCATTGTTACCTTGTTTCCTGCACAATATCTCTATGTATCGTAAATGTTAGTAGGAGGGATAGTGAGGAACTAGGATAATTCCTTGGCAAGTAGAATGGGGAAACTGAGACACATAACTAAACAAACTGGCTGAGAGATTTACAGCCAGATACAGAAGCTCAGCTCCCTTGACATAACATCTAGGTCTCAGCTCCAGGCCCAGAGAAGCAGATAAACCAGGTGAGAGACACCAGGAGCAGCCGCAGTGACCCATGATGCCCTGTTCTGGCGCTGACCAATCAGTGGAGACCACAACCCTGAAAAAGCACACCTGGAAACCCGATGAATATTCTGCTGAAACCCTCCCTTGAGACCTCCCCTAAGATGCCCACCTGCAAGGGAGAGATAAAAACCCTAAAGATAAAGGACCCCTCTGAGAGGCAACGACAGTGCCTTTCCCTTCCCCCTCTTCTTCCCCACTGGTGTGCATCTCCTAAACTCCAGAGGCCCTCATGAGAGACTTGCAACCAGGGCACCAAGGGACAGCAGCAGCCATTCCAGGCTAGGCCCCTAAACCTGTCCCCAGGGCCCCCTTTTCCCTGACTTCCCAGTGAGCTAAAGCAACGTTGCCTCGGCTCAGTTCTTCCCTGTGACATTTTTAGAGAGCCAAAGCAGCCCAGCCTGGGCTGTCCCGTTGTTTCTTCTATGCTAAGCCCTTCTTTGTTTCACTGTCCGCAGCTTTGATAAATGTACTCTCAATCACCTGGACGCGTGTTGTGAAATCCTTCCTGGATGAAGTCAAGAACCCACACACCAACCCCTGGCCTGAGGCAGACCCGCCAGGGCCCCTGTTCGGTAATATTACTGTATTTTGCCATATATAATGGGCACCCACATTTTTGGTCCAAACTTTCAGGGAAAAAAATCTTTCATTTTAATTTTTAAATTCAATTATTTATTTATTTATATTTAGAAACAAAACTGATTATCATATCCCAGGGTATTATTTTGCATATGGATATCGTTACTGCTTTCTAGAGTTACACTTTTAATGCATTAGCATAAATAAAAGAATTGAAAACATTTATATAGATATGGAATTAGTACTAACAATACATAATGCATATTTTTATTTTTCCCTCAAAAGTTTGGGCAAACAAGTAAGCATTATACACAGCAAAATACGGTAATTATTAACTGTCCTATACTCTGCAATGTGAAAGAAGTGTGTGTTTCTCCATTTTGCTTTTTATCCAGTCCTAGGGGTTTCCCCACTTTGCTTTCTCCTGCCTCCTTCATCTACCGCAAATGGACTTCATGTACCTTCCTTACATTTTCTCCTTTTTAAAAAAATTTTTTTCAAAGATTTTATTTGTTTACTTTCAGAGACAAGAAAAGGAAGGGAGAAAGAGAGGGAGAGAAACATGGATGGGTTGCCCCTCGTGCACCCCCAGCTGGAAGCCTGGCCCACAACCCAGGTGTGTGCCCTGCCTGGGAGTCGGTTCGCAGGCTGGCGCTCAGTCTGCTGAGCCCCACCCACCAGGGCTCCCCTTTGATCCTAAGTGCATAAAAGGAACTGCAAAACTGCCATGCCCAGGAGCCTTTTCTTAATCTGTTGAGCTTTTGCTTCTGGGCACGAACTCAAAATTTGGCTCAAACAAACTCATAAACTTTTTTTTTTGGTTGACTCTGGTTAAAATGGTAAGTTTGTTATGTATCTTTAGCCATAATAAATAAATAAGCCAGCTGCTTATTTATTCTGGACAATAAAATCCCTCGATTTCCATTCCTCTTGGAACCAGCAGACTCTTGGGTGCCGGGCAGGTTCCCTCACTCACAAGGCAATAAAAGCCTGACCTATGTTCGAGACCAATTTTTCTAACATTTCTTTAAAGAAAGAACTGAAAAGAGACATGTCCCGGGGTTCGAGTAGAGAGAGTCACATTCCCTAGAATTCACACTGGCTTGTGTTACAGTCCTTCACTGTACAGGGGAAACTTGTACCGTGGTTCACCAAGCTGGGGCTCCTGGGGTGTCTCCATCCCCAGGCCAGTGAGGGGAGGCGTCTATCACTAGTGTGTTGCCTGAAGAGTCCTCAGGACCCAGGCATTATCAAAAAGGCCTGACAGTGGGTGGAGAGGACCCGTATATCCATATGACGCTGGCGACCATCATCACCTCTAGTCCTCCATGGGAAAACCGAGGCAGCAGAGAGGAGAGACGTACTTGAGCAACCCCACTCGGGGAGGCTGCCCTGAGGTCCGGGCCCTCAAGTTCCCTGAGGAGTCAGCCTGGTCACCGGGAGGCAGGCCTGGCAGCAGAACGGAGGGAGCCAGGCCTGGTCAAGGGGAGCACAGCAGAGCCCCAGGGCGCAGAGCAAAGCCAGGCCTCCTCTGCCTCCCTCTCTGGCACCCAGCCCACCCAGCACCCCCTCCCCCTCCCCCAGGAGAATTCCAGGAAGAGGGGTGGCAACAATGGGAGGAAATGCAGAAGGAAGCGCTGGCCCCACCCCTGCCAGCCCAGGCACCTCTGGCCACGAAGGACTGCTTGTTATTTCCTCCCTTAAATGTCTTTCTGGGTCATGAAATGCCCTCACCTGCCACCCCTGTGGGAGACCCCGGGAGTCCCTCGGAGGAGCAGGGAGGCTTCACAAGCCCCCAGGCTCCTAGGACGAAGGGCTGCAGGCAGCAGCCTGTCCCAGAACCTCAGCAGCAGGCTGCCCCTAGTGGGCAGCACAGAACTGCTCCGGGAGGAGGGGCAGGGGAAGTTAGGGAAGGACTCCCTGGGAGGTCGCAGGGGTCTCAGAGATAGGAGAGG